AGTTTTAAGGATTCTTTGGGAAGACTAATGATCTGAATTGAAAAAATAAAAATTGTAAAAAAAATAAAATAAAATAAAAGAAGGATAAATTGTAAAACGAAGGGAATGCATTGGAAAATTACAAGTCAGGTGAGCACTGTTATATTTACCAGCATTTCTCAGTAGCCGTCTTTTTCAGTCTATTATTAATACATTTCTAGATTTATTAGTTCCTGTACAAAGCTTTCCTTACATTCACATTTCTGGGAAAATAAATAATATAAGAATAATGGCATATCACAAAACGATTAAATCACTTAAAATTAGAAAAGTCCTCTAATTCTATTTAGGAATTATCTGATGATGACTATAATACTCATATTTTGATTAAAAGCTTCAGAATTATCTACCAAGAAAATTATGACATCAATCATATTAAATTTGATTGCAATTATTAACCACCAATTCCCTGATAGTTAATTTGTGTTGATATGATAGCAGTTAAATGATCTTTAGCTAAACGATATGAAATAAATCCGCAACCTAAGCAATACCTTCGGTAGGACACTTTCGAGTTGACAATTAAATGAGAAATATGGCACTCACTGATTGTTTAAAAAAATTACATGTTTTATTAGTTAAACACAATTATAATTAGTTTTAATATGTTATATTTTTTCTCAAAGATGCTTAAATGTATTATTAATACTCATGTAATAAAGAATCAATTTACTATGCTGAAAATCTTGTTACACAGCCGTGTTTTATTAATTACTTCATATTAATGAATTCTTTCAAAAGAGTTAACCATGATAACTGTAATTTATTTTTACTCATTTTAAATAAATGTAATAACAAATCTATATCTTAAATATAAAAAAAGGGGTAAAAATGAATGACGAGCATTGACAAAATAATGAACATTCTGCAATTATATTCGATAATATTCAGATATATACCAGTTCCAAAACAATGGCAAAAATACTGGCCCATGACATTAGGCAATATTAGTCAGTGTCAAAATCTTTGTTTAAAAGATTTTTTTCTATTACTCGTTTTCATAAATTGCAACATGACAGATAATTATTTTGGTCAGTCTCCTTTAATGGGACATGAATAAAAACTATTATAAGAAAATACACCGAAAAGAGACTACACTTTGTGCCTGGGTGGCCGACCGTGATGAAAGCCATTTCACCCGCAGCGAGGTTAATCGTCACCCTTTAGATAACAAGGAACAGTCCTCAAGACTGGAAATTAAAAAACACATTTTCCTATTATTTTTTTTAAATATATTTCATTTCATATTTAAATTTGATAGATTTCTACCACATACCCATGGCTTGATTACATAAAAAGAAACAGAAAACTTAAATTTTGTGATTTTTAAGCCAACCACGTTTTATTTTGATGAATAAAAAGCAATAACTAAAAACTTGTTTAACTTAGGTTACAACAAATTACTCCATAGTAAACTAGATTAAATATACATTAAATGCGAGTTGATCTTGTCTTCTTTTAAACAATTTAAAGGGGACTTTTAAGCAGTTAAACAACGGTAAGTTGAGGTTTTCAAAAAATCAAGGATTTCTAATAATTTATTTTGTAATCCTCTAACTAGACTGAAGATACCACGCTTTCAGAAAAAAATCCTTGTTTGGTAAGCTTTAAGTCTATATAAATTAAATTGTGGTTTGTTATAGAGTAAGTCGAGATTCATCCCTAATTGAGTAAAAAGATGTAAAAATATTTGGGTCGATTTCTAATTTTACCATACTAATAATATTTTTACTCAATTGGAGAAGATGTAAACTCAACTCAACTTAATTAAGTACTGTAGTATTGTTCTGAACAATCTTTAAGAAAAACCTCATAGTTTTTGAGATGGTATAAAAAAATATCAGTTATCTGCTCTTTCTTCTCCCTCCCCTCCCCCCCATCAAAACCCGACGCGTTTGGACTTTTTATCAGTTATTATGGAGAAGGTAATGAATAATTTCTGACAAGTTTCATCTTTATTTTTTTAATGTTGGGGTCAATCAATAATTTTACTGGACTATAGTGCCTTGAGGAATTGCTTCGTCATTGCTGCTTAGGGAAAACAAGGAATCAATTCTAATTTTATTTGTAGATAGATTTAATAAAATCATCTTTTTATTATTATAGATAAACACTTGGTTATATAAAAATTAAATTAAATTTTGCCGACCGGTGTATTTGGAAATTTAAATAATGTTATTAACTATTTAATAAGTTCAAAATTATTGTTTTGTTTATCTGTTTCGATCTCAGTTGGAGGCTTAGTTTAAACCTAACGTGAATAAAATAAACATTTTTTTATTATTGAATAAATAGGCAGACAAATTTAAAAACATTTTTATTACTCTGAATTTTTAAGACTACGTACGAGTGTACTCATACAAAAGAATAGAACGAAGAAAGACAAATAAGGGGCATAAAGACATTTAAATGGTCCTTAAGTAAATAATGTGTTAGATTTCATAATATTTATATTTATCATATTATATTTACATAATATTTAACAAACCAGTTTAGTTAAGTCAAGTCTTAATAAAGTGGTTTCTCAAATATGAGTCATGTACGATTTCCAGTGGTTAAGATAGGAGGAGACACTAAAGTAATTTTAATCATAAACAATTAAAATATAATCAGTATTTATACTTTGGTTGGAATACTGGCTTATAATAAAAATTATGATCAATTACAATAAAATTGAATGATAAAATCTAATGGTTTGATTTCGGCGAGATAAGACATGTAAAATGAGACAATAAACGTGGTAAGAACATTTTAAAAATGAAACTTTGTCATAGACTATCATGCAACCTAATACATATATGGGTTTACGAGTTTATTATATACATATATGCATGTGTATAAATAAAATCACGTTTATAATACCAATTGTTCAGATAATTAATAGGATCGACTTAAGGGGCAACATTAAAAGTAAAATCCAACAAGAGTTAGTGAAACCAATAAGTTTTCTCAGATTATTCCAAATATCAATCACAGTCAATAAAAATTTACTGTTTATTTTTTCATAAAATACAGTAATTATTTTGAACAAAATCTTTCTAAGAGTGAATTATAAAATAATGATGCGTTAGAAAATATAATCAATTCAATATAATTTAAAGAAATTAATTCACACATTTGAATTCTGAACGGTCGGCCTTCACAATTCGTTACTACAATTAGAAGGACCTAGTTAAAAGCCGGCAATTTTTCCGTCTGACACGCCCATACTCCTCGTTTAGATGGATAAAAAAGGATGACTAACAAAAACTATTTTTTAAAATAAAAATTCTAAAATTGAAAATATTGAGTAAAAACTAATACATAGGTTTTCTTGGTCTGTGAAATTAAAATAAAGAAAGTAATGCAGGTTATGAGTATTTCTTCATGAAAACAGTACTTTGATCCAATTGACGAATTGAGTTTTATATTTTGAGTGAATATTAAATTTATTTAATGGCTTTTTTCTCTATAATAAAAAAAAAAAAACTTCTCATAATTACAATTAAGTAAATCTACCACCAATTTAAACAGGCATTGGATGATTATCAACAGGTTGTACTAATATTTATGTTCTCTAACTTGAATTTAAACTCATTTAATTAATTTAAACTCATTACATACGTATGTAATAAAATATATGGTATAAAAATTTATTGTTTCATAGAAATTACATTATTAGTATCTCATGTGAATGAGCTGTCTGAACACTATTATAAATATCCTTGATTGTGATATTTCTGAATAAATAAGTTTAATATTAGTATCTTAGAAAACAAAACAAATAATTAATTCATAAATACATAACTACAATAAATAATAATAATTTCATTTTTTAAACAAAATTGTCAGTTGATTTTATGCTTTGTAAGGAATAATTTAAATTTAAAGAGTAAACTTTTTGAAATGCAAGTCCATAAAAGATAATAAATGTAACTTCAAATTAATCATTGGTTCTCAAGCAAACATTAATCAGATCAGAGAATCAAAACTCCAAGGAAAACATAATGTGAAAGTGTTGCGCAGAAAAACAAAAATTCATCCAAAAGCGAGAAGAGACTGAAGACAAAACAGTTTCGCAGATATGTAAATTTAAGTAAATATTAGGTCATGACCTAACGACATTTATATTTAATATTCTGAAAACATGTACAAGAAAATTTTATACATAATAAAATTGAAGAGTACTCTTTCAAATTCAATACTTGCATTTTCGAAAAATTTATACAGACATATAATGAACATAAATAAATTTTTTTCTAATAATGTTGATTTTGTAACTTCTAGCTGACAAGTGTTAAATATAAGTGTTGAAACAAAATGAGTAATTTCTAAAATGTAAAATATAATTTTGTCAAAAATACCTTATTTATATCACTTTATGAAAAAACACCTCTTAATTGTCTGGTTTTGTATTGAGATAAAAAATACTCTACATAAAAAAATTGATTTGATAAGAATCTGATCACCTCAATACTATAACCAATATTATAAACATATAAATGCCAAATTCATAGTCATTCCCATCACTACACTAAACACAATTCTAACAGAAGAATATAATACCTTCCAGAAATTCGGAATATTAAATTACTAATATATGATTAAGTATTTATCAATAAATGAATATTTGGATAGATAGTTCTTCCAGCATAATTAAAAATGCAAAATTGGGGTACATACAATCTTGGTACTAGTTTACAATATGATTTAAGATTGAAGGATGACATTTTCATGCTATCTTTAAAATGACAAGTAGTAGTGTCACCTATGCCTCACCCGCTTTCAAAACAGTAAAACAACGAATAATACACATTTTGAAACTTAAACTTTAACTTGTGAATAACTGTTTTCGATTGAAAATGCTTAGAAAAGCATTGAGTTCAAACTAGGGCAAGGCCTACCAAAACTCGGAGCATTCAGGCTAGAGAAATTAAATAAATTTTCTCTAATTATGGACAACAAAAGGTTGAAAAACTTACCTTAAGAGCTACTCCAACTAACAGCTAATAAATGCACTATTAAAAACCTACGAAATGCAGAATTGAAATGTAAATAAACCACAACTCATTCGAACAACAACACCGTCAACGAGCAGCAAGTAGACGACTGGCAAGAATTGAGCCGAGTTCCCAATGCACGTTCGTTATAAAAAGTAGTCCTGCCACTACCCATTCAAAACAAAGTTAATATACTAGTTAGAAATTCCAAAACTTCTATTCTATGATTTAAATGCATATTTTCAGCGAAGAAAATAAAGGAATGGTTAAATATAACTACAATCATTATAGGCGGAGGAATACAACGTAGATGATGTCATCGCCCTTTTAGGCTGGTGTACCAAGTATTTGTGGGCGTTGCCAATCAGCCGCTCACATTATGTGTTACCTTAACAATTGTGATACCACAAAGTAATGAGTGGATTTATAAGGAAATATAAATGCTTCTAATATATAGCTTTTACTTTAGTAACAGTACTAAAAGAATCTTCGTTTGTCTATCATAAGTACAAAACTTAATATGCATATCTTAACAATCAAATATTTAAACTTTTATAAGACAATTTAAATATAATAAAAAATTAGTAAGTCATTCTTCATTAATGAACGTACATATCTTGATAAATAAAAAAGGATATCCATTTCAGGATAGCAAACAATAAACAAAAAAAAAATTGGTGACAAGCTACTAAGTTATCAAACACTGACTGATAGCAAGTAAAAAATCTATAAAAAAGATTCTTTCGAATATATTTTTAAAATTCAAACAAATAAACTTCAATACTACTCTTAATCAATTTTCTCAAATACATCCCCTGAAATTATTTCTAATACTTAAAATAATATTTATAAACATAACTATGAAAATAAACAATAATTTTAATGCAGCAACAGTTTTCATAAAGGACCATATTATATCCTAACTTCTCAACTTATTGAGGTCGAAATTTTTATATTCAATTTTTAATGCAGTCCTTAGTTTTTAGAGTACCATCTTAGGTTTCTTAGATAAAATTAAAATTTTCTTGCAACAATTTAGTTTTAATTTACGGAATATTTTGATTCCATATCTGTGAATTGATTTGAGTAATAAGTATTCAACAGGATTTAAATATGACTTTTGAGAATTTCAAGTACCTTTCTGCAATTATAAAGCAGCCATTCCCATGTGGAAAGCTTGGTAGTTAGTATCAGGATGCTGATAAAATTTAAATGCTTGTTCTTTATCCTGTTGCTACAAAACTAACACAATGAATATATAACAACTTTCCTAAACCCTCCAAAACATCATTTTCACTATTTGGCTAAGAAAACTATTCCAGCTTCCTGGAGAAAATCATATGCACAGTTCATAAAAAGGGCGATCAACTGAAGTGCACAAACTGCTGCGGAATAGCTTTACCTACCAGTGTATGAAAAATATCCTGTTTATAATAACATTAAACAATTTATAATAACATTCTGTTTCACACACTCCTTTCTGTTTTTGAATGTGAGATTGGCACCCACCAATGTGGATTTATTTGAGAGTAGTCAGTAATGAACCAGATCTTTGATCTGTATAAAATCATGGAAAGAGAAAGGAAACATAGAATCCAAACATATCACATCTTTATCAAAATTTAGATGAGCATACAACAGCATCAATAGAAAACACAAAAACCAAAGTTATAAAAAACTCATGTATAAATAATATATATTGGCATATCAGTTCAGCAGGAGTTTGGAGGCAAAGAAGCATCCAGGAAATATTTATTATTTATCTCTATTTATCCTAATGGTTCTACAACCCTCAGTGGGTCTTGTCTTTCTCAATGAGCTCCCGGTTAATTTCTCTATTCTGTGTGGCCACTTTCCAGGTTCTGACTCCCAACAGATCTCTAGCGTCACCTACCACACCATCTGCCCAACTCAATTTCGGTCTGCCAGCTCTCATCGTATAGTGTAATGGCTCCTCGAGCACTCTTATCAGGATTTCAAACGTCTCCATCTGAGCTATGTGTCCTGCCCAACTCAGCCTTCCTAACTTTATTATTCTGGCCACATTAGGTTCATTGAACGATACGTAGACCTCTCTATTTTTCCGAATTCTCCAATCCAGTCCCTCCTGTATAGGACCAAATATTCTCTAAGGATTTTCCTTTCAAACACCAGAAGATCTTTCTCCTCATTTTTGACTAAGGTCCATGTTTGGCTACCGTAGGTAAGAACTGGCCAGATGAGCGTTTCTTGTTGAGCTGCAGCTTTGTTTGTCTACTAAGTAGTGCGCTTCTCACATGCTTAAGTAGGCCAAAATAGCATCGGTTGGCAGCTGTTATTCTCCACTTCATTTCAAGTGACGTCTCATTTTTTGCTTTAATTTTGAGATCCCTGATAAGAGAACTGTTGGGACATTCTCAAAGGTGTAAGTGCTTAGAGATATTCTTTGGTTTTGGGGTTCTCTCCTTCTCCTGTATACATATATTTTGTTTTATTCTCATTAATGCGGAACCCCTTCTTAGCTGCAGCTTTTTGCAATTCAAGGAAGGCACCTTCAAGAGCTGCAAAGGACCGTGCGACAAAAACAATGCCGTTAGCATAACCTAACAGTTGCACGATATTTGTAAATACCGTGCCCCAAGTCTGAATGCCTGAGTCCCTCACCACCTTCTCCAGAGCCAAATTAAACAATAAAAATTCCAAAGCATCACATTGTCTCAGTTCTTTATTGGTGGGAAACTCCAAGAAGCATTCCGAATGAATGCATACTCTGCACTGCATATCGTGTATTGTAATTTTTACCAGACGAATTACTTTAGAGGGGATGTTTAGTTTTATCATTTCTTCATACAACTTGTGCTTCCTTATGGTATTGTAGGCGCTCTTGAAGTCAATAAACAGATGATGAGTGGGAATTTCATACTCATGACTTCTAGAATCATTGTAAGTGTGAATATTTGATCTATAGTTGACCTCCCCTATCGAAAACCAGTTTGCTATTTTCCAATTTGATAATCAGCGAATGGGGCTAGTTTGTTATAGAGGATGTTAGAGATTGGAGATATCTTATATGCGCACTGCAGTAACGAAATTCTTCGGTAGTTGGTGCATTCCAATTGTTTTCCTTTTTTGTGTACAGGACATATGACCGCATATTTTCATTGAAGAGGCATTCTTTCCTGTGTCCAGATGGAGAATATCAGATCATAAATGAGTTTATGTAAGTCTCCGTCACCATATTTAAATAACTCAGGTGGTAGTCCGTCACTTCCTGGTGCCTTATGATTTTTCATCTTGGATATCGCGTCCTGCATCTTTTCAAGCTTAGAGGTTTCTATTTCTCTATTATCAAGTATGATGTTATTATGGCTCTTGAAATCATGCCCTGATTAAGCCGCTCCCTCAATCAGCAGGTCATTAAAATGTCTAGCCCATCTTTCAAGCACTTTCTTATTAGTGAGAAGTGAACCATCCTCTTTTTTGCATAATTGAAATCTCGTCTTAAAAGGGAGGGGATCCTTCCCTTATTAACTTTTTGGAAAAACATTCTATTTCTATTAGTATATCTATAGACTTCTTCAAGCTGTTTGTTCTCCCTTTTTCTTTCTATGGTTGTCTTTCCATTCTATATTTTTTGGTTGCCTGCCTTGTATACCGCTTCTGTACCATCAGTCTGCAGGATACGTTTTATGCTTCAGTTACTCTCCTACATTCTTCATCGAACCATGGGGATGTCCTTTTGGGATCTTTAAATTCAAGAGTAGCCTCTGCTGTCTTGGTTATGACTGTTTCCAGACCATTCCATATATCCTGAATATTATTCAAATTGACCGTGTGTAGTTCATCAGTCATTCTTGAAAGGAAGTGAGCATATCAGCTTATTTCAGTTTCATAATATTCCATTTTTTTTTTTTTTTTGCAGCTGATTTGCACATCTTTGCACTAGAGATTCTCACACTAATCGGAACAATAATAAAACAGTGGTCAGAAGCTATGTTTGCACCTCTATATACTCTATTGCTTAATAGATTAGATCTGTGTCAAGCACTAATTAGCAGATGGTCTATCTGATTGAATGTGGTTCCATGAGGTGATTTCCATGTGGCCTTATGAATTTGTCGTCCTGAAAATACTGTGCTTTCTATAATAATCATGTTTCAAGATGCAGCAAAATTTACAACTCTTTTCCCATAGTCATTACACTCTTCATGGATACTGTGGAGGCCAATGGTTGGTATGTATATTTCTTACTTCCCGATTTCAGCGTTGAAATCCCCCAACAGTATCTTTATGTCACTCCTAAGGCATATGTCATAAGCTCTTTCTAATGCGAGGTGGAAGTTCTTCTCCTCTTCACTCGATACTTCAGTAGGTGCATGACAGCTGATAAGGCTGTAATTATAAAACACTCCTTTGATACAAAGTGTACAAAGTCATTCATTAATGGGAGATATTCAATATAAAAAATATAAACTATTATGAGACCTCAAAGAAATAAAGCCAGACTGATCAATAGTAATAGACATGGAAAACATCAAATGGACCTTAGACTAGGATATTGGAATATCCTATTATTATACAGACAAGGAGGACTTTAGGTCTTTCTAACAGAATCGGACAACTATAGAGTGGACATAGTCGCTATCCAGGAGGTCCGCTGGGTGGGCAGCAGTTTTATTGAGAAGAACCACACTATTATAGCTGCTACATGAAGAATCATATGTCCGGAACTGGATTCGTAATGAGGGCGAATAAGACACCAACTTATTAATTGAAATCATGAAACTGGAAAAGTTGAAATGGGCTAGTCATGTGGCGAGAATGAGTGAAGACAGGATTCCGAAAATACTGATAATGGTAGACAATAAGATTTTTATCGATTGAATGATGGACATCTTTGAATATAATTAAAATGATATTTAAGGGCTAGTACAGAAGAAATAGGTATAGAGCAAGTACTTAAATTTTACCACAACAATGATGTTAAAGACAAATCTATCTTCATACGAAAATAGTTGTCATATAATTGTCCAAAGGTACTTGAAACTCCTCCTTGAGTACAGATTTAAATACCGTTAAGCATTTATGGGCTCATGTCTATTCACAGCAGCAAAACCAAAATATAAATTTAGTAAAAGATCTTAAAACTAAATTGATGTAAGAATGGGAGAAAATACCCTGCTAAACTTTGAAGTTGACCTAATCAATGCCCAAGCAACTTGAAATCATACTCAAAAACAATGAAATGCATTCTAAACATACTCATCAATGGATAAGCAATTTTTTTAAAATTGAAAATTGATGAGAGTAGTATTAAAGTTTACTATTAAATTTAAATTTAAAAAATGTGTTTGAAAGTTAAATTGGAAAAATGTGTTGTTTTTCATTTCTAATCCGTCAGTGCAATAAAACTTTTGTTGGTTATTCTACATACATCTATCTTAGTTATAAAATATTTTATAATTCATTTAGTGGTAGTTGGCCAAGTGCATGGTTTTGTAAGAATGCTGTTTTTTTTAGGTAATGCAGTATAAATAAAAAACTCTAGTGCAACAAAGTCTTTATTGGAATATAAATTGTATACAGCCCAATGGGGAAGATAACAAATAAACACAAAGTCTATATAATATACCAAAAATATTTCATATAGAGTAAATTTTTTTTCCAATTTTATTTTTTGATTCGCACCTGTTAATTACATTTATTAACAATCAGCAGAACTAATTATTGTTATTATTATTACAGAACTTATTATTTGCTGACTAAATAATGAGAAGAGAAAAATAAATAAATAGAGAAAATAAAAATCAGAGAAAATACATAGAGTAAATTAAAATAAATAATATAAATCTTTCTATATTTATAATAGTAAAAATAAATATTTACATGGATATTTACAAGAGTCTTATTGTTATATACAATATTAAATATTTTCAAAGCCAAAGACAACATAGGTAGTAAGGAGTAAACTTTCTCTCAGCAAAAACCTGAAAAAGTAAAGAAAAAATTATGTATACAATAATTAGTTTTAACAAGAAACAAAAGTGAAGAATTGGAAAACAGCTGACGGAGTAATCTGGTTAAATTTCATTCAGGAGGCACATTGGGATTAGGTATCACAGAATAATAATGATAACAAATAATTTTATTTCACTTCAATGTACAGAAAAGACTATTTATCATTTCAATCAAAAATTCAAGAATATGAACAATATGAACACTGATGATGCCAAAATATATGATTGGTAAATCAAGTAAAAAGAAGCCAAGAAGCTCTCAATGGTTAGAAAATTTCAATAACAGATCAGATGAACCAAGAAATATATCAAGATGACTTGTGAGTACAAAATCTGTAGCAAAGGTAAAATAGGAAAAGCATATATATGGCAAAATCGAAAATATCAAATACAAATAAATTACATCACAGTCAGACAAAAATAATTTATAAGTTTTCTCAATCCATCCCCATTTTTTTCTGATAATTCATAGGATGAATCAGTGTATTTTTATAACACTAGAAATAAAATTGGTGGATAACATTAAGAAAAGTACAAGGGTGGACAAAAAAAAATTTGCACACCCAGGTTTTCAACTAGTTGACATAATAAAAATTGACAAAATCTCTGTATATGGGTCATTTCAAAATTTATGTCACTGAAGAATAATGGTATCAAATTATCACAAGTGAAAGCTGTTATTAGGGGGCAGCCCAAAACATACAAAAAAAAAAAAAAAAATGGGAATTTCATCATAACTTCTTTATTTATCTATACTTTTATATCAAATTTTTATCATGTTCTAAGTAAGTTCCATTGACTGTAATGCACTTGTTCAGTCTTTTCTAGCATTGTTCAAAACTATTTTTAAATTCACTTATTGGGATGTTCTTTAGTTCATCCACTGATTTTGGTTTTGCCTCCTCCAGTCTCAAAATGTTTCTTTTTCATATCCGTTTTAAATCTAGAGAATAGAAAGAAATCACAGGTGAGCAGGTCTGGCGAATACAGGAAGTTATTGTAATCAATGTCACGCCATATTGGTTAAAAACTGCTTTACAAACAGCTCAATGCGGGCAAGTGTGTAGTTGAGGTGAAATAACCTAGTGCGTAAAAGATTTGCCCCTTTTCTTCCAGATATTCTTTCTCAATTTCTTCTAAACCCCTAAGCAGTTTTGCTGGTCCAAGTTCCTCTATTTATAATGTACCTAACAGAGGAAAAAATTAACCATATTGAATCTGCAATCTTCCGGTATGAATTTTGTTAACTCCGCAACAAAATAATTTTTTCAAGAGTTCCCAACACAAATCACTTGTCTTCACCATGATAGACAGACAGTTCAGTGGCTGGTTTTAAACATTATAAAAGTCTCTGAAAGAGTCCATAATACCAATGAGAGCATTAAGGATTACATCATATTGTTAGTAAATGAATTGTGTAAATAATTTATTCAAAGGAATTTATCGTTTTTAATTTTTTTTTTTCGTTTGTCATTACAAACCCAGTAGATCTTTTGCTACCTTAATCAGGTTTCTTGGGGTATTTCTTCCAAGTTATCTGCTTGCAGCTCAATTGCATCTTTGTTGATTCTATCTAAACATCTAGTTTCTGGCCTTCCACATGGTCTTTTGCCTTCTATAGAGGCATTCATTGTTGTGTAGAGATTTCCAGATCGAATGCTCCGAGCGCCATGCCATGCCCATGCTATCTTTATGCTATTTTTCATTTTTTTTTTATCATTCAGGTTTTATATTATCATACTTACAGAATGTTTTCATTTTGCATCAACTTCATACTTTTATGTAGTTGAATGGAGTTTTTATTTCACTAATTTTGTAAAAACAGTTTTTGCAAACACTTTTTGCCACCAGTGTAAAAAATAAACAGCTAAAATGTAAGTCTAATATTTTATGTTGGTTGTTGTCCAACGGGAGGGACAAAATGTGTTAAAAGTTCAGGGAAATGAGGAAGAATTATATCAATGCAGTTTATTTATAATAAAATGAAACAGTTTATAAATATAATTCATTATTTAATGAAGAGAAGAATAGTTAGGGTGGTCAGTCAAAAAAGAAGGCAAAAATAAATGATAATATTTATTTTTACATATGCCGACGTTTATTTTTGCCTTCTTTTATGACTGACCACCCCAACTATTCTTCTCTTCATTATCTACGACAGTCAACCATTTACCAATTATGAATTCATTATTTAATTTTAGAAAAATAAAACAAGTAATTTAGAAATTATATTTACCTTTCAGAGGAAGGCTCATACCTTGTCTTGACAAGAATAATGTACAATATTACCATTTGGATAATAGGCAAATGCACTAAAAAAAAAAGATATATATATATTATGTATACAAACATACACATTGTAAGAAACAACTTATTAATGTTTATTATTGTAAATAAAGTTAATATTAAGATCCAATACTTCTAATTCATGATACATAAATTAGAAATATTACAATTAAATTTTCACCATTTCAACTAGTAACATGTCGTTTATGATAGTACATCAATAATAAAAAGATAAGAACTATTTAAAAATAAAATAAAATTTTGTAAAAAGAACTATAATTGGAAAAATTAATTAACAGGAAACGAGAATGAACTAAAAACGCATAAACCAGCTGCATAATAATAATGCTGCAGAAGGTATATAATAATAATTAATAACAACCATATCAGTTCTCATATGAGACATTGATAAGGAAATATATGATGTGAAAATCATTAATTATAAAAAACAACTAGCTGTGCTCTCGATCCTTGACTAGTTCTTGATCACCAAGGATAACATGCTCGGCATTTCGCTCCTCGATTTAGTAGAGAACAAGTTTAACTGAGGAATGAAGACCATTAAGGATTCCAACCAAAGCTTTTCCCTTCAGTTTAGAAAAAATGAAAGCTTTGAAAAATGAAATGAAAACATTGATGGGGAGTCTGACTGCAGCAACTCAAGTAGCAACTATATTCTTTTGACTGTGATAATTCAATTACTATAGGCAATTAAAGTGCAGAGTTTTCTTCTCTCTATCAAAATTATTGAAATCCTGAAAAATTTTAAATTAAGAGAATTCAACCAGCAAAAAGAGTAGAAAAATTTGAGAGATAAGTCCTCAAAATGATATAAAGGGCAGGTGGTTAAGATATTCAGAATATAGAGCTCAGAACAATATCAGGAAGCCTCTACACAACAAAGAATGCCACAGATGGATATGCAGAATCAACAACAGATCTGCATGTAACAAACTGGAACTTTTCCTCAGTAACCAACTTTCCACATGCAACTTTAGTTCGTTTGGCATAATACCAAACATACTCATCTGTTTCTCTATGTAACATATCTATCAGCAAATGAGGAGTTTGGTTCATTTTGTTAGTTTTGGCCATTATTGTATGCAAAAGAAGATATTCATCAGAAAAAAAGAAGTGTAGATGGACGAATGTCATCTCGTCACATGAGAACATTGAAGCAGTAAGGGTGTCATTTTGTAATATCTTTTATGGGGGTATTGGAAGTCCTGTATCTATCTCGACTACTCAAAGAACCTGAAAAGAAATTTTCGAGAGAAATTGCGGAACTTGTGAGCGACATGGGCACATTGGACAGCTATCTGCCAATGTTTATAACCTGAACACTGATAATTCTGATAAGGCACTGATAATCCCTATCTGCCAATGTTTATAACCTGGGCACAAATGTTGTTTATAGGCACAAACCTCTCTTAAAAATTTGTTCCACATTATGATACATTTTTTTGATAGTTTCAGTTGCTCTTTGTCCCACTTTATTGTTGTCAAATTATGAGACCACCCATAAATAAATTTTAAAGCGGTTGAAATGGTAATCTTCGACCCCTCTAACCACGTCCCTTTCCTTATTGATTTTTTTTCTTACAAATCTTACAAAAGTATCTCCATTTTGTCTTTCCTGCGAACTTTATTTCATGACCTTCATCACAATATTTCACCTTCGCAATTATCCCTGTATCTTGAAAATATTTGATAGCCTCTTCTTCTGAAGACGGCAATTCTCACAATGTAATTAAATCCATTTTACTAACGCACAATGAATAAACACACATGCAACAGCTCACACTATATAAAAAGGCAGGTTACATGAGGTAACATAACATAAGATAAGAAGGTGAAGTAAGATAAGATAAAAAGGGAGGTTTAGCAGAGCCCGCGTCGCTCACAAGTACCGAAATGGCCAACATACCCATCAATATGTTGGAGGGAGTGATGGGGGAAGAGTTCAACCAGTGCATCAACAATCAGACGTGTAACTTTTGAGCAAAAAAATTAATTTTAAATGATACTTTTAACACTTTTTGTTTTATAAAAATATGAAATATGGAAGTTAGCCTGCCACACCTAGTACATTTCAGCTTTATAGATGTGGCTATCACATGTTTAAAATCAATGAATAAATTATATTATTACTTATATTTTATTTATTTTAACATTCCCTGCAATTGGCACCTGCACGGCAGCGCATCTTTCAGTGTATTTGCTTGATTTTGTTAATATCAAGCAGGTCTCTTGGCATTTTCTTTTAAATAGAAAGAACCAGAGGATTGGAGTGATTTTGAGTTGAAGAATGAAATGAAGTGTATTTGTCGTGGATGTAAGATTTTTCTGATGGGGTAATTAAGTAGTTATATATAGTGTTACTTGAAATATACTAAGGTGCGTTAACAATTTTTCTTAGAATATTTTATTGTGCTTTTCCTATTTTGTTTACGTGTGTTTGTTCCTTATGTCCAAATTGGTCTCAGTAGAGTTTTATAGATCAGTCGTTTGTTTCGTAAGTTAAGTGAGGAACTGTTGTCGAGAAGATTTGAGTTGGCTTTATCGTCTTGTAAGTTCTTGTCTTTTTAATTTCGTATGTATGTTCCAAGTAAATCTTTTATCTAAGTAGAGTCCGAGGTACCATTCATAGTTCTTTGAAGGCACTGGTTTATAATCAATCGTTATGGGCAGGAGGCTTTCCAAGAGACAAACTAACATGGGTAATACTATTTATTTTAATTTTCCATTTTTCAAACCACTTTTCAAGATCATGGAGGTGGTTTTGAAGGAAAATTGATTCAATAATAGGATTTTTATGTGAAGAAAGAATTGCAGTGTCTTCAGCGAAGCAATAGATGGTGATACTAGGGTGCTCAGGGATATCAGAAATGTATAGAGAATAGAGGATTGGGCTTACTATTCTAGCTTGTTATAGGCCAATGTGTTGGGGAAATAAGGAAGAAACAGAAGAATCAACAGAAGAATCTACAGAAAAATCTGTAAAGAAAGAAGGATTGAAGAATTTGAAAATAATTCGGTAATAATGCGGTTTTAGTTTGCATAATACGTCATTGTGCCAAATACTATCAAATGCTTATTCTATGTCGAGAAAGAGTGCTGAGCAATGTTCCTTTTTCTCAAAAGCAACAGAGATAGCATCTACTATCCGATGGCACTGTATTTTTTCACTAATGAAAACATTATCCAGCAAATAAAACAAAATTAACAACATAGGATGTATAATATACAGTAGAATCCTACTGAATCCTACAACCTATCCAAACTAATTCTATACCTGGTTAACCAAGATGGGATTTAAAAAAATAATTGAAATTTAATAAACAAAAATTTCATTTAGCAATTCATAATTAAAAAAAACAACTAAGGTGTGTGCTTTAGACCACAGAATAGAAGTGGAAACATCAACAAGGAGAGATTAATAATATGAAATATAAATTATAAATAATAGCTCATTATAAAGAGGATGGAATGTTGAACATTCCTTCACTTACAGTATGCAGATTCAATTTTTAGTTTCTGAGAAATATAAATCCATATGTTCCATAAAACTCGTTATTATTTGGCACTATTTTTTTCCTTTTCACCTCTCTAACACGGTGTCACATTAAGATACATTTTTTAATAATAGCTCATTACAAAGTGGATGAAATGATGAACATTTCCCTTGTTATGAATATGCAGGTCCGATTTTTTTTTTTTTGAGATATTTTAATCCATATGAAAAAATACTTCAATTAGTCTACTCCAGCCGGCTAGTACTTTCTTTAGTCCATTTTCTTATTTTTATTTAGTTCAAATATTAATTATTTTTCTTTATGCCTAAGAATTTCGGCTGTTGTTATTGTTGTAATAAAAGAACCCAAGACCTTCAATGCTCAAGGTCCTAAGTTTGAATCCGACTGATGGCAATTATTTATTCTGTTACATCAGTCATGAATGATCTATAAATTAAATAACTAATTAGGGGGAAAACCTGGTGGTTGAGTGTGATCTTGGCCCGATCACCTCCCTGCACAACTCTTGGCCTTGAAATAGTACTTCCTTACAAAATAATGAACCCAAGACCCTACACGGGCTATAATGGTATTTTTTTTTATTTAAAAAATATTATTTAAACAGAAGGTATGACTTCATCTGAATTTAGAGAAGCCTGTTATAAGGTAATGTGAAATACGAGACTGCTTTCTCTGTCAGGTGTAAGTATAAATTATGTTGTAATAAAAATAAAATTATGCCAAAGGAAAAATCGATAGAGAAGATAGAGAGGGACAAGAGAAGCAAACATCAAGACATAAAATTAGGTATTTTAATAACATATATTTAAAAATTAATTTTTTTGTGATGATAAAAGATATATTTAAGATTAACTTATATAACGACACATGATTATTACTCTCAGACAATCTAAAAAACTATATTAATTTACTACCGCTCCTTATATTTTATCTATTTCTTCTTAACTGGCACTACACTCCACAAGAGCCCAAGGCCACCCAGTACAAAGACCATTAGTTATCTTTTTGGTGTGCTGTTCCACTCTGTTTCATATGCCAAAGATGGACCAAGAGTCATCTACCACACCATCAGTCCAGCATAGCCTCGTCTGCCGACCTGTCACTGTCCTCAAAGCCATTAGTCCAATATCTTTCTCGGGATTTGATTCTCGGTCCTTTTCACCACCATAGTTGACTTATCTTAATGGAGGTAGTGATGTTGGCGCCTTTGTAAAGGGTCATCAGCTGTAAAATGGTGCTTCACCTCTAACCACCATCTCTATAGAGCAGTCTTGGATATTCAATAAAACTAAATCAATCCACTGTCATTCCTTTTATTTTATCACATATAAAAAAATTAAAATCAAAACTAAACAAGAAAACAACTTTATAATATATTACCTTTGATTTCCAAATCTTTTTTTGCAAACTGGACAAACCATATTTTCATCAATTATAATCTTTTTAGCTTCAAATTCCATTTTCTCTTTTCTAACCTGAAAAGAAAATTTTATGGTTATCAATTTAAAAATGGATGGTGTTGATTTAATTTACATACTTCTATAAGTATGGTAATTACATATCCTGTTTCGAATAGAACAGTGCCATTATTTAAGGTTTAGCAAGGTGTTCTTCCGGTTTCCAAAAATATTGTGTTTTTCATAATAAATAAAAAATATCAATTCTGGATTTCATACTTGTTATAAATAAGTTTCGACAGCTCCATAAATTTATCAAAGCCAAATTTTAGAGTATAGCACTACAAAAAAAACCTTCTTTTTTTTTTGTGCACTTTCATATATTAATCCGCATCTGTCAATTACAACTATCCACTCAAAAAGGAAAAGACGTATGACTCTTGTAATGAGAATTTAGTGTAGGCATACATCACCAGCGGATCCAGGATTTAATTATGGGGGGGCTTCGGCCCGAAACTTTTTTTTCATGTATGTAACGATAATTACTTTGAAAAAAAAAAAACGAAAGATACTAATTACCTATAGGAAATGGTGTTAAGTGATTCTTGTAGTCCTATAACATGTAATTACACAAACAATAATACCTTAAGAGATCATTTTTTAATATTTTTTTTCCATAAAACATGGTTAGATTTTACTATTTTAGAGGGAGCTTCAGAATGAATGTCCCCTTATTCTCCTTAAATATTAGCTTTTTCCTTCATTAGATTATCATAAATTAACAAAAGCTTCTAAACATTGCTTTAAACACCTGATAACGGCAAAAGACAAAAGGATCAAATTCTCAGGTAGGAAAAGTTAGTTCAATCAGGATGTATGTTACTTTATCATTAAAAAAAAAAAAAATGTATTTTTAAAAAGATAAACTTGAAAAATAAAGTTCTAAAAGTAAAAGCTAATCTAATTGAAGCACATTGACAAATATTCCAAAAAGTATTTAAAAGAAGACACATTTATATAAATATAAATAAAAATAAAATTAATAATTTAATTAATTAAAAAGAATAAAACGTTTTTAAATTTAAAAAATAATTACTGATTGATAGATTATATACTGTCCCCCAGAAAAAAAGGTCCGATTCCCAAAATCTTAAATTCCCATCTGCAACACAATATTTGCAGTACAACAAATACTAAATGTTCAGAGCGCTATAACTTTGTACTTGTAGGGAATTTAGTAAACTTTAAAGTATTCATGAATGTATGAATGTGAGACACACTCAGCCTCTATAAAGATTAAAGAGTCTCAAACAGCAGTAAATATAAAGCTTTAAGTTCGTCTGATTGCAGGAAACAAAGTGGGGTATAAGAAAAATCTAAATGCCCTATAGGCACACTGTTATAATGGTTATTTCAATCCCTCTTGCATCTATCAGAACATTTTCCAAAGCTCCCAAATCATCAAATGCCGGTGATGGTTTCTGTTCGGTGGGTTACATTTGGCTTGATAGACTAAAACTTATTAAATTCATTCACCTCATATCTGACATTTCATATGTTCCAACCCAATACTTAAAAAACTATTTCAATAATAATCCAAAACCATAAAAATACACATGAATAATGATTGATGTAAATACAAGCGAGAAAAAAAATAAATAAATGATAGTAAATGAAACATGATGCTAAATTCATAATCCTCCTACCTGAAGTCTCTGTGTGTTTAAAAGGCCTTTAAGAAGTTGTGCAGATCTTCTTTCCCCTGTTAATTTTAATAAAGCTGCTTTTAAATAATGTTTCAAATGTCCAATTTGTATGTTATCAGGCAATTGTTCAAGCGTTTCAAGAGGAGGAAGCCTGTAATATGAAATTCCTTAGAGTTCAGAATATGTACAGTACATATCATCGGTTTATTGCAAAAAGTAATTAAGCGATATTTCTTAACCTTAAATAATTGAAAACTTTAAAGAATTTTTCCTTTCCTATATAAAAAAGTTGTATGCCTGTTGTAACTATATTTGATCTACAAAACGGTTAGTGATCTTTTCGTGAACTTAAAATATTTTATTATTGATAAATAGTCTAAATTCAGAAAAACATATTTGAAAGTTAACCGATATAAAAAAATGCACTTAGTGACTTTTTGAAATAAACCGACAATATGCAACACATTGAGTTAACCTTCATTATAAATCCTGAAATCTATAGAAAAAGATTTAGAGATGAATTTTGAAAATTGATTTAATGTACAAACAAAAAACACGTTGTTGATGCTCCAGATTTTATGTAATTATCCTTCTTCTTTTTTTGTTCTTGAGGCAACATAAAAATACTCAAAATGTATGAGTTGTCTGTAATGTGCTTAAAAAATCTGATGTTTCAGTGATTTAGTTTTTTTTAAATATTCTCTAGCTCTTTCAACAATTTATGATAATTAGTGAGGGCAAACAGTCTTTGATTCCCAAAAATCCTACTCAATGTAACAGGTTGTCTCTTGAAAAATTGGGCCACTTATAGGAAGAAAGTACGATTTTGAAACTTGAACCAATATTTCTTCATGTTCTGTGGATCTTGTCTCTTGGTTCTATCATGCATAGAAACAGCCTGTTTTTTTTTTTAATATACAAAAAAATTTGAAGCACTGGTGTTTTAAATATTTAAATTATCAAAACATCTTATCCAAAAAACAATGAAAAATTCCAAGGCATTATGTTAGTGAAATCAATCAATTAAAAATTATAAATAGATTAGAAGTAAAATAATAAATAATGAGATCATTAATAGAATGAAACCCTCAGTTTTCAGCACCCACTGCAGTTATTGAAGAATATTAAGCATTGGAAATGGTCTAGAGCAGGTGAAAGGTCTCATTTGAAGCGGGAATCTCTCTTGCACTCATGTATTCTAGCATTGCCCATATTTATTTAGTTTGATAGGTAAAAAAATTGCTGAAAATTAGAAACGTTTTTGGCAAGAAATACACATTCCTGCACAATACCATTATAGTTCTTTCATTCTGAAGACTGCCAGGTTGAATCCTTTAGGTTTTTGAAAATTGGGTAAAGAGTGTCGAAATAGGGCTCTGTCACAAGAGTACCATTAGGCGTGTAACAGAATTGTACACTGGTCACTGTCAACTAAAGAAGCATCTTTTTAAATTGGGTGTAAGTGATACCTCCACCTGCAGGATGAAACGGCCTATCACATTATTTGTAGATTTGATAATTTGACTAGACTGCGACACTTTCACTTTGGATGTGATCGTAACACTGATCCTAAGCACTGCGAACTGATTGATCCTATTAGTATTAACAGATTTGCAAAGGCATCTGGCCTGTTTTGATTGAGTCTAGGACGACGCACAATAGGCCTCCTTGAGGCTGCGGAGCACTCTTACGTCGTGGAAAAAAAAATGGGGGTGTCGAAAACTAGAAAAATGGTGGCAAAAACTGACGCATATGGATATTTTTACATTTTCTAGTTTTACTATAGAAAAAATAAATGAAATACACTGTTTTGCATATATATTTTGAAATTAGAGATCTTTACTGACTTAACAGAACCAAAATTGTTGAACCAAGTATCCACTGAATTGAAAACAATACAAACACATTTTAAATCTTCTTTAAGGTAGCTGAAAATTGGAGATTTCACTCGATATTCTGAGTTTTTTAAAACTATTTGTATAATAGCTAATGAGAAATTAAATAGTTCATATTGGTTTCTATTGTTCACTCAAATATTCAACAAATTACTTTAGTGGTTCTCAACAAGAAAAAAACTTCTTGGCCGTTTCTTATTAAACAGTATGATAAAACCGATTTTATTCATAAAAAAATATTGACAGTATTAATTAATTGATTCTGAAAATATAAAAAAAAAATGCAAATAAACTACCGATCAGGATGACTCTCCAAAAGTGCCAATGCTGTTTCAAGATCTGGTGTAGTATGAGTTAAGTGTGAGGTATCAACACCAGGTAAATCATCCATAGGGCAAGTTAAGAGCTTCACAACTTCTATATAAACCTTAAAACAAAACATAATATACCGTTACAACAAAAATTAATGGTTTTTAACATATTGTTTATTATTGTAAAAATTCTGATAATTGTTTTATCCTAGAAAATATCATATTGAAAAGCTCAAAAATAAAAGTTCTAAATTAATCAGTTATGCTTACAAAGGGAAGGCTACTGTTTAAAAAAGAAAAATATAAATACCACGATTAGAGTAAGCTTCGATATGAGATCAATTGAGGTAGTACTGGAAGAGCACTGCTTGAGGTGATTCGAACATGCTTCTTGTATGTCAGTGAATTATACAGCCAAAGCTACCAATTAAGATATTGAAAAAGGAAAAAGACCCTAAGAAAGATCTGAGAAGATTGGGGTAGAATAGGGAAGACACAGAAGATATAAAATAAAATAGTAAACAATATATTAAGCTTAATTGTTAGCATCCTTCCATGAGGTACCTATTTTGTTATTAGTGTTTTTTTACTCCTTACCAAATTAAATTTATAGAGTCCTAAATTTTAATTTTTTTAATCTGTTTAAAGTAACAGGATATCAGGAGCTAGTTCAGCGGAAATCTACTGTAAATAGTTTATGTAATGATTTAGGTTTTTGGTTCAGGTAGGCATTATGAAAAGTATTTCTCAATCATAATTAAGGTCTAATTTTGAACAGTCTATATCATCAGTTCATCGAAATATCAAGCTGTTTGTAGACTGTATTTAGTATCCAGAATGTTTAATTGAAGAGAAGATTGGTTGGGGTGTTCAGTAAAAAAGAAAACAATGTAAATCATATTTATTTTTATATATTTTTTTACTGAACACCCTAACCAATCTGCTCTTCAATTATTCACTACAGTCAACAATCAATCCACAATAATAAAATATTTAATATTAAAATATATTGACAAATGAAAAAATACATACATTTTCATTTCCAATCTTCTTTGACAAAAACACTTTATCACAGTATTCTAAAGCACGTCTATAATCACCAAGTACTAATATATATATACCAAGAGCATGTTCATGTCTTCCAAGTTTGCCATTAATGATGGCTCTTTCTTCAAACATACCTTTTAAAAATGAATATAAATAAGTTACATTAAATCCACTATCCAATGCCTATTAAAAAATTGTATATTGATAATAATAATAATGAATTTAAGCTAATTTAAAATATTTTTATATGTTCTGTTGGCAAGAGGGAGATCAACATCCATAATAATAATAAAAAAATTAAATTAAAAGGACTAAAACGCATTTTAAAGTCCGAGCAGTTCAACGCAATTTTGCATACTCACATGTTACAACTCTACATAAGAAATGCATCCAAATTCTTATTGAGCTCGGTTGCAATCGCTCATAAATGAAAAGTTGAAAAGCCATTAGAGCGCACGGACTTTGAAGAGCATTTCTGTCTTTAATTTGTTTATACATTATAGTTGTGTAATAACTATACTTAAATTAGCTGAATCAAAAACATTGAAAACATAAAAAGCTCTTAAGTTGATTGCAGCAGATACCATGAGAGAAATACGCCTTCAATTCGGTGCACTTTAACAGCTGCTAACCTTCTCACATATTAATATGTCTACGTATGGTACATAGGAAATTTAATGCTCTTTCAAATTGATTATAATGAATTTCTTCAAGAGATGATTAGATTATAAGGTTTGGGAGAGATGCAGTCAAAAATATATATTTTTTTGTGAAAAAAAGCAAACAGCCAACTTCCGTTTGCTGTTGCAAAAACTACTTATCCCTTTGTTCAAAAACGTTTGTACCAAAAAAATTGATGGTAAATTTTATCTTCTTCAGCTTTGTATATAATACTAATTTGATAAAATTCTCAGTTTCGGAATCATATCCAAAAAACTAAAAAAAGTGTGGAAATTTTGGTGGTTTTTGTATATATCTCGGAACACAATGGAAAATTTTGTTTGGAAACATTTAACTTAGATTCAGCATCCTAAAAAACATAACAAACCTTAGGAAAACCGAATATTTCAATTTTTTCCACATCCAATGACCATTCGACTGGACTAATTTGATGTCTTTGACGCCGGCAGTTTTCAAAACCCATCCGAGTACATCATCAGTTAATGTGAATTTGTTTGTACATTATAGTTCTGTAATAATTATACTTAAATTAGCTGAATCAAAAACATTGAAAACATAAAAAGCTCTTAAGTTGATTGCAGCAGATACCATGAGAGAAATACGCCTTCAATTCGGTGCACTTTAACAGCTGCTAACCTTCTCACATATTAATATGTCTACATATGGTACATAGGAAATTTAATGCTCTTTCAAATTGATTATAATGAATTTCTTGAAGAAATTCATTATAATCAGAAATTTCAGCTGCCTGTTCTTTCATTAAATGAAACGTCAAGTTTCGCCACTTGAATTTAAATTTTCGTATTGAAAGCAACAGCTTTCAACCGATTGACCGAAGTTGTGTGGACAGATGAGGTTTATCAACAACTTAAAATGGTTATTAGCCTTAAGTCCTTCAATTAAACCAAATGGTCAGTAGCTCCTAGTCTAGCACGCTTATTTGTATATTTAAAGCATCAAAATACCCCTAATCTTACAACTAATACTTTTTTTTTTCTTTTTTTTTATTCATATTTACAACTGTATTAAAAAATTAAATACATTAAGTAAATTTGATAACAGAAAATAATAACATGAAATGACTTGTTGAGAAACTACTCACTGGTAGCATTCTAAAAACAAAATGTATTTACAATAAGAGATCTCGAGGGCATCTTCTTTTCAGACGCCTCGGAGGGTTATCAGGAATAGAAGAGGAAGCAAGGTTAGAGACGAGAGGATTCGGATGGTTCTGAAGTTTATTATGGAAGGATTGGTATCTGGATTGGACCAAATCGGAAACATAAGGAACATTAAGGTCATTATGGATTATTTTATTGGTGACAAAGTAAGGAGCATTGAGAATTTTCCGAAGGATTTTGGATTGTAAGGATTGGATACGAGAGGAATTCGATGGCTTATTGGAGCCTGTTCTTGCTGTAAAGCTCAACTCCGTAAGTCCAAATAGGTCTTATTGTAGTCATGTATATAAGTCTTTTGTAATTAACTGGAAGCTTAGAGTGTTTGTCTAGTAAGTGTTGGAGTAGTCGGAAACGTCGAGCAGTTTCTTGTCGTTTCAGTCTCGTATGAGGATTCCAAGTTAGACGTTTGTCCAAGGTATCGGATTTGTTCAACAGGGATAAGTGGAGTATTATTAAAGGATACTGTGGGACATGAGGTCATAGGTTTACATCGAAGGGTAAAGGTGATTTGATGGGATTTATTAGAATTTATTTTAATCCTCCAGTTTTGACACCATTCTTCAAGGCTTGTGATGTGTGATTGAAGAGTTTGGGATGCAATGGTTGGGACAACTAACACTAAATTCAATTAACACATAAGTTCGAACAATAATGATTCTTATTTGGTTTGTTATTTTATTCAGTAAAATAACATAATAGCACAAAAATAACAAAACATAGGCAATATAATAATATAACTTACAATTCCTTGGGAAATGAATAAGAACTGCTTCTGGGTTATAATAATCTGATTTTTCAAGAAAAGCTAAAAGCTTAGTCCTGATAGTATTAGCTCTAGGATCTTCAAGTCCTAAAGATTGAATTCTTTCTCGATACTGATGTACTAAGGCATTGTGAAAAATGCTATTGGTCTCTTTCCATATATGTATAACATGTTCCTGAAAGAAAAATTAAGTGATTTATAGAAAGATTGGATAATTTAAATTTTGGGACACTAAATTTCATTAAAAACTTAGATCAAATTTAAGAAAAACATGTAAAACAATTACCAACCAGATATAAAATCACCAAATTAGGCTTGTTAGCTTTTAGCAGGAAGTCTAAAACTTTTGGCCGAGGGAGGTAATCTCCTTCCCTTACCTCTTCAGTAAATATTTTAAGACCTTCTTCAGGAGAGATTTCTAACACCCAAGCAGCATACTTGAAAATGTAATCAGAATGTTCTTTACCTGTAAAACAAATCTCAATTTATCATTATTTTTTTTAATAAAATAATTGAATTTTATGTATCCCAATCTGACAGTCTTATAACCTTATAGGACTTTTATAATAACCTAACCTATTCATTCTATCATTTCCATGAACTTATTACAATCAATTCTGGGGAATTAGGATATCATACATTTTTATGAAAATTTAATGTTCTTATAAAATCTTATGACTTTATTTTCATATCATGGGACAATTACCCAAGCATTATTATGAAGTATAATGTGTGTGTGTATAGTAAGGATGCAGTCATTTTGGTTTTTTTTGTTGCTGACATTTCAAGCTAGGCATGTGGGCCATCATCAGGGCGGAAAATTATTTAATACTTAGTTACTTTGGTAGAAGGTTTTCAAGGGCACTTAATGTACTTACAAATGATGCCTCCAAGGATATAATCAGATGTGTGGTTGCGGGTTATGGGATGTTCGGTTAGTAATCTGATCGGCTAGTTTTGAGGCGAACGGGTTACTAACCAAATAAACCTCAACCACACATTTGATTTTGATAACCCATTCATACTTGCCACAGTTCCCAACCACCAAAAACGACTACCATCAGAAGCTTATTTATTAATTTGGAAAAAATAATCGGGTAAACCTCAAAGTAAATAAAGAAAAGATATGCAATACGTATTCCAATATTTTCTGCCTCCTCAAACAATAGCTTTAGAAATTGTTTTTTCATTTTTCCCATTTCTTTGTTAACTTACAGATGTAACTATTCATATGTTTATATCATATATATATATATATGGTCTCTGGATGATCATGACTGAGCTGGGTGTGTTTGTTCCCGGAAAGCTAGTCGAAGACGTATATAAACGATCCTAAATGCAGGATACTAATACAAGGAGAAGGATCTAAAGCCTTTAAAGTTCGAATGGGTTTGAGGTGCACGACAGAATGAAACACAAAATCCTAGCGTATGCGGATGATATAGCTGTCCTCGGAAGCAATCAAGAGGATATTGAGAGACCTGCTCGGACTCTGTTAAGAGAAGCAGAGCAAATAGGACAAGACAAGGTAGATAAAACAAAATATATGCTAATATAACAACAAACAAAATGGTAGTTAATCGAACAATCCACCCTAATAACATGATCTGAGTGGACTCAAAGCCATTCCCAAAAGTAGACAGCTTCAAATTCAAATACCTCAGCTCCATAATAACGTCAATAAATGATCACCTAACAGAGATAAACCAGCGAATAATAAGTGTGAATAGAGCTTTCTTTCAGGGTAGTGAAATCCCGAAAAATCTCCAGAAATCTAAAACTAAGGGTGTACAACGCCGTGATAAAGCCAGTTCTGTTGTATGGCTGTCAAACCTGGGACCTAACCGGCAAACTAGAAGCCAGAATTGAGATTCGAAAGATAAGTACTCCGATTTGTATTCTACAAACAAAAATGTTATCCTCCCCTGACTTTGTTTACCTATCTTTTCTATCTTAAAAACACATCTGGAATATCCTCCACCGACCCTCTTATTTACTTACCTAAGTCCCAGTACTTGAACACCTTCAGTGCTTGAAACACGGGTTAGTAAGAGCAAATATTACATTTCATATAAATTGATTATATACATTATTTTTTAGTTCGTATAACTTATTACATAGTTTATTTGTCTAGTTCATGTATCATCCATCACTATTTTTCATTATTAATCATTATCTATCTTGTAATAATATATCTCTGATTGTATTAAACAATTTTCAACCCTGACGATGACCCACATGCTTGTGTTGAAACATCGGCACCAATAAAAACTTTTAAGATGACTGTATCCTGCCTATTTATCACATATAATCCTTATTTTATGAATTAGATTTTCTGTTCAATTTTTACTGCAAGTACAAAAGTGTAATATTTTAAATAACGTTTTTAGTTTGTATTTTTGAATATGTGCAAGGCATAGATTGACCAAAAAGTCTGATAATCGCACTTCCTAATACAATTATATTTACAGACTTTTGAAGTGAGCCTGTTTATATCATTTGTTTTACCATTCTAAAATAAAGTTGAATAAACCACCAAGTATTTAACCGTGTCTCTAATGAAATTTTAATTAAATTCACTTACTATGACCAATCTTCCACACATGAATAGTTTAGTATTGAGTAAAAAATAAACCTTAAAACTTATACAGAAAATAACACTTGTAAATTTGTATCTATCTGTTAGACTTTGACTGCTTTTCATGAAGAAATAACTGATTTGATTTCAAGAAACCTATTTATATTGTTTGTTTTTTAATTTTCAGGAAGAAAAATAATACTTTCAAACTTCGTTATCATTTATTCATAATTTTGAAATATTTTTTTGAGTATTCATTGACTGTATGTGTGTACGTATGTGAACAGTCTAGCTCAAAAAAGAAGTTGTATGAAAGTGAAATTGCATATTTAAGGTTTATATATACCTGAGATGTTACAGCAACGTTTTCTTCAAAATTGGCTAAGCGGAAGTGGCACTTTATATAATCGATTTTACACAATTTTTCAATTTTCTCGAAAACGGCTCTAACAATTTTGATCAAACTTATCACATCAGTGTAAAATTAAACAGTTTTTAATACGATGTAAGTTTTATTCTTATTGATGTTCTCTAAAAGGGCTTAAATGGCTAATTTTTAATATTTCTTCCATTAAAGTACCTTCAATTTTTTTATTTGACATAATTAACCATTTCATAATTAAATCTGATATTAAAATATGAAAGAATTTTATTATAAACTAAAGGAGAAATATGAGATCATAACAAAGAATAATTACAATAGAGGGACCAAAGGAATACCAGCACGGTTGAGCTCATCCGAAAGATTAGAATAGCCTTCTATACGTAACAAGAGCTTAATATAATACGGACTCCGACAATGTTATGAACATAAACATATGTGGTTTTCATAAATGCTTTCATTTGTATTATTTAATATTTAATTGTATAGATTATAGTGATATAAAAATAAAAATTTGTATATATACGGGTTGTTAAACAAATAAAAATACCCACAATGAAATATAAACAAATACAGCAGCCTTCTTTATCAGTGGCACTCTTGTTGGGATAAAAATATTTTGTGGCACTTAATTATTTAATTTAATAAAAAAGACGTCTTCCCGTATATTCCTTTATTTGTCACTTTTGCAAAACTTGTTTCGGTCTTTTATCAGACCTTCATCAGGCTAGGTAAAATAATAAAATTAACAACAATAATAAAAACTTTTGCAAATCATAATAAAACCTAATTTAAAATTTAACAATTTAAAATCCAATCGTTATAAATTAATTAATAAAAATGGTAATCACCTAACTGATGGTGGTCCTTCTCTTCGGCTTATCAAATGAGGACTAAAAAATAGAAATATAACTATTGACCAGATGGGCTATCCCTACTCCCACGTATTGTTTTCATTTGCTGCCACTAATTTTATGAGTGCAGAATCCTCAAATTGAGTACTTTGTACATTCAGGCATACTACGTCATTTTTTATAATTCTTTTCATAATTTTTAACTTTTCAAAAAAACACATAAATTATTGAAAAAATATTTAGGAAAATTGAAAGACAAAAATTTGAATATACAACTTATAACAATATTTCTTCAATATAATAATATTAATGATTTCAGGACAATTACAGATATAGGTCCTGATACTTATAAAATTAATAGTAGTTTTAAAAGAGACAAAAAAATTGTGGCCCTTAAACCTTTTACAAGTTTAAAAAATCTGGTGCGTGCAAAAACACAACTATTACTTACCGATCTACTTTGAATAGAAAGTATTTTCTGGCAATGTTGGGCTATTAAAAATTTTTTTGAAGTGCATTTTAAACAGAGCTTAAGCTTAAAGCTTACAGATAACAAGCCATTATAATTACAAAATGTCTATTTAATATATCGACGACAGGCAATAAAAATCTAGTCACGCCATCTACTTTTATAAACCACACAACTTTCTTTGCTTTTATAAACCACAGAATGACTAACTCCAATTTCAACATTTTTGATTGATGCCATTTTAGTGATATTTTTAGTTGAAAAAGTTATCTATGCAGACAATGAGTAAGTTGATTCCGGAGGTGGTGATTGCAGTGTTGAAATATAGAACTGAGAATAAAGGTATAAATTTAGGTACTTATTTCTTATGAAAGATGTTCTTAGGAAACATACTTTATTAAATATCTGAAGAAAAAAGGTTTTTTTAATATCAATAATTAAAAAAGTATATTTTAAATTTATCCAAATTTTCGCCTCTTCACGGAAAAAAGAGGCCATATCTTTCCTCCTAATTATCCGATTTTAACGATTTTTTTTTTTTTTTTTTTTAGGAAATTCCATAAACTTTTAAAAAAACATATACAATATCAACAAAAAAGCGTATACTTTTTGAGTTATTCGGAATTTAATTTTACCATCCCTCGTAACTTTTTTTCCAGCTTCTTTTCGTTGATGTATGTTATTAGATAAATTTAAAGGGTGTCAAGAAAATGACTTTAGCGAAGTTTCATTGAAATCGATACATTCGTTTAGGTGCTACAGTTTATAGCAACACAGGTTTTTCTGCATTTTAATTTTTTTTCTCCTTATCAACTTATCAAATTCTTTCAAAAGTTATATGTAGTATTTTTTTATAACTCTGAATAATGCGAAATGATTAACTTTTAAAAATAATCCATATTAAAGGTACTTTAGAGGAAGACATAAATGAACATTGGGCATTTAAGCCCTGTAAAGTGACATCAATGGGGATAAGACTTAAATGATATTAAAGACCACTTAATTATACAATGATACACCGAGTTTAATCAAAATCGTTAGAGCCGTTTTTGAGAAAATTGTAAAAATGTGTTTCAGCTTTCATATAAAGTGGCACTTCCGGTTAGCCAATTTTAACAAAAAAGTTGCTGTCACATCCGGCCCATATACAAACCTTAAATACTTAATATCAGTTTCGAACTACTTTTCGTTTATGAGCTAGACTGTTAACACACACACACACACACACACACACACACACACAGGCCATTTTGCGACACTTGGTTATTTGGACTCACGGGACCTCAAAACATGTATTTCCGTTGAAAACTGAGATTTGAAAATTTTCACGATTGCAATACTTACCCTTACTATATATTACATATATACGTAAGTGAAAGTAAAAATATGGTCTCCAGGAATAAAGATCGAGTTGATCCTTTTAATAAGAGTGGAGTCTTCTTGATAGAATGTTATGTTCTGCCGTTTTTATCGGGCAGACGGGAAGAAAACTAAAAAGCAGAATTAAAGAACACCTCCCTGGTTTAGGATATGCATCACCTTTTAAAGATCATTTTTTAAATTGTTAACACCCACAAAAAAGTAATAAGGTGGACTTTTTTGAAAAATTAGAAATTAAAAAAAAATTATAAAAAATGACTTAATGACTTAAAATATGCCTGAATGTACAAAGTACTCAATTTGAGGATTCTACACTCATAACATTAGTGGCAGCAAATGAAAACAATATGTGGAGGTAGGGAGAGCCCATCTGGTCAATAGTTTTATTTTTTAGTCCTCATTTGATAAGGAGGAGAGGAGGACCACCATCAATTAGGTTACCATTTTACCATTACCATTTTTATTAATTAATTTATTTAGATTGGATTTTAAATTAGATTTTATTATTTGCAAAAATTTTTATTATTGTTGTTAATTTTATTATTTTACTTAGCCTGATGAAGGTCTGCAAAAAACCGAAACCGGTTGTGCAAAAGTGACAAATAAAGAAATATACAGGAAGACGTCTTTTTTATTAAATTAAATTTCAATCCTGTAACATTAAGCCACAATTAAAGAAAACTTAATTATTTATTATAATCAAATAAATAATTGAAATATACTGTTGCAAAAGGAAATAGCTAGTATTAAACAAAATACATATAACATATTAGAAGGCTATAAAAAATATATAGCAATTAATTGTTTTAAATAATGTTTCATACCGTTTATAATTTTTACTTTTATTTCCCTACATCTGACAATAGTTATTTTTGCTAAGAGGGTGGTAAATGAAAATTGTGTGATGCATGCAGCACACCAGATTTTTTAGTTTCAAATCAAAGACTATCCCTCCTTCTTTCATAATGACTTAGTGATGGTGTTTTTCATTCATTCATTACTGGCACAACAGACGCATGTAGCGGTCCTTGGCCTGCTCAATTTCTTTTGCCCAGTCATCCCTATTGGCTGAGCACCTGATGGATATGCCGTTTTTTCTCAAGTCTTCTTTCACGTTGTCTATCCATCTTGCCTTCGGTCTTCCCCTAGACCTAACTCCCTCTGGTTTCTCATGATAAAGCCTTCTCGCTGTCCTTGCTTCATCCATTCTCAGGACATGTCCTAACCATTTCATTCGTTGCACTTGAGCGAATTGGGAGATAGACAGATCACCGTACATTGAGTATACCTCTTTATTTGTTCTCAAGCGGAGAACTCCAGTTTAGGTCCAATTATCCGTCTTAGTATTTTCCTTTCAAACCGATCTATTCGTTCAGCAGATGCCTTTGTTAGAGTCCATGTTTCACACGGATAATTCATTTCACGTATGATTCACACACGACTGTTTTTCATACCAATCCATAAATATATCTTATTTAATTTCCATCAATAAATGTCCACTTAAATAACATTCTCTAAAAATGGTATAACATCCCATCATATATTATTTTTTGAATTCTACTTTGCCTATGTTTAGACAAAAATATAACAAGTATGACTGCTAAATGTGTAATACAAAAGGTTATTCAGATCTATGAATAAATGATAATGAAAATTAAAGGAGTTATTTATCTTCCTGAAAACATAACAACAACTAACAATAACATCCCTTAAAAAACAAATTCATTCCTGTAACATATTGTGAAAACTTATATACACTTTAATATAGATCCATTAAGAGTTCTAATCTGCGATCCACAACCTTAAAACAAAATGGTGAATGAGAAAAAAAAAAAATGTTTTGTCAGGTTTTCATGGAAAAAATCAGTTAAACTAATTTAGGAAACTTCATATTGTAGTTCTATAAATAAATTTGTTATCTATACTTTCAGTAGTACATTTGTATACTCAAATTAAGTAAAAAGATTACAAACTAAGACTCTTAAAAGACAGTGACTTATTGCTCAAATATTAAACTTGAAGAATGCTTTCCACTTGGACAAGCTAATCACAAATTAAGTTAATTGTTACTTTAATAGTAGTGGTAAGATTTGAAACTTTACCAATTGTATGTGTTGTATAAACTATCTTGGTAATATTATATTTTATACACAAATAAACATGTTTTGCTGATGTTGCTTATACATCGATTGCATTAGGGAAAAGGGAAGCTATCTAATATAAGAGTTATTACTATGGTATACTATTTTATGCTAATTTTGATTTAGTACTGACTTTTATTTCTATCACTCTAAATAATTAATAAGTCTTAATTGCCATAATCAGATAAGGATAAATTGATAAAATAAAGGATTCCGCGAACCATTCTGTCCAGAAGATCCATTCCCTCCTGGGTCTAAACAGTCTAAACTAACCACTTTATCACAAGCTTCTATTTATCTGAAGGGGACTATAGATGTGTTACCTAAATTTTGGAGATAATGAACAATAGGAGCTGTTCCCCATAATGGTGAATCTTCAACATTGCTTTGTTTTTTCAAAAGTTCAAGAGCTTTGTCATGAAGACCTTTGGTTTGATAAAGTATGACTAATTCAGAATCTTTTCTCCACTTTTTGAGAGTTTTCTCAGCCTCTTCAAGATTGCAGTAATTTCTTCGCAATAGTGGAGCAACCAGTGCATCATTGGTCTAGAAAGATTTATAATTATTAATGTAATTTTACCAAATAATCAATGTAACAAAATTGTTACCAAGGGTTAATAATAAATAAATAGCAGACAAATTTAATGCATAGGAGATTGTGGAAAACTCCAGGAGCAGCACAAGTACTTCGCAAGTTACAGAATTGTTAGTATTATTTTAACTCTTGCTGCAACTGATGTTTTGACCACAACCAGAAATGTTAGAAGAAAGAATAGAGACTAATCTACTATGTTACAAAATCTTTTTACAACTATGAGACAAGAGAAGGATCTCAATAATTTGGATAATTGGTTATCTAGAAAACTGATCAGACACTTTATATTCCCTTCTTTTTCTCTTAGTTCCACTAGTTCACTTTCATAAGTGGTTGGTGAGTTTGTATCACAATTATCTCTTAGCTTGGTGGACAATTCAACATTCTCTCCCCTGAATATCAAATCAAGCGCCTTGTGTATAATAGTCGAAAAAGCTATTTTTGTAAACACAGTTGTACAAAAATGGCTCAAATGATTTTAATGCCATTTGCCTAAAATCTTCTCCTTAAAGACCTTTACACGGTGGCTAACAGACTGAGTAAAATTCTCTGGCTTTCCTGTATTTAATGAAAGTTTTTCCTGACCAATATGCCAGGGGTAGAAATGTTAAAAATGTATAGTTTGTAACTAAATATATTTATTGTACATGGTTGAAAGTTGAAAAATTAGAATAAAAACAAGTCTGTTCAGTCTTTTAAATAACAAATATAATGTTCTAGGTGAAGCATTTTTTAAATTAGATTAGGATTTTGGTTTATTATTTTCAATAATGAAACATTGTGATCGACCAAAAAATTCAAAAACATAATCCCCTCTCAAAATTTGAGGTTTCAAGTTTCAAGACGCGTAGAATTCGAAAAACGAATAAACATTTTTTTTGTCCGTCCGCCATCCGCACATTTTCTCCGAAACTACTGGACCGATTTTTTTTCAAATTTTGATATAAAATCAGAGGTCACCCGAGGATGATCCTCCTTCATCAACATTACTCTCCGCCTTTAACTTTCAAAATGGTGGCCGAAAAACCTGTGTTGCTATATACTGTAGCTCCTAAACGAATGTACAGATTTCAATAAAACTTCGGTAAAGTCATTTTCTCGACGCCCTTTAAATTTATCTATATAACATACTTCATCAAAAAGAAGCTGGAAAACAAGTTACGAGGGATGGTAAAATTAAATTCCGAATAACTCGAAAAGTTTTTACTTATCGAAATTTTTTAGTTTACTAAATTTCCTAAAAAAACAAAACAAAAATCGTTAAAATCGGACAATTAGGAGCAAAGATATGGTCTCCGGTTTTTTTTAATGTTCTACTCCAAATGTTATATCCTTGGTTTCGTTTTTAAATTTTAAATGTGTTACTGAACTAATGCTATTTTTTTTAACATATTACTAATGATTAAAGAAAAACAGTTTAGTCCAATAATTGGAATCACCTTTTGTTTTTTTTTCTTTGTAACTCGGAAGATAATGTTACTTTAGATGTATAATTGTTTTTGTTTGGAAATAATAAACCATTGTGAAATAATTTGCAGCGTTTTTTATTTTAGAAACTAAACTTTAAGTAATTTATTTTTATTGCCTTTATTTTATTTTCTTAAATTGAGAGGAGGTCTGATATAATTGAGAGTTGATACTTGACACTGTTCCCTATTATAAAATAAAGTGAGCTACAGGCGATTCTTATTTTAATCTAGTTCCACATAAATAATTTAGTTCCTTTATTACCACATTCAGGATAATAATTATCCATACGATACCAAATGGGAGGCGGAGTGACCAAGGGGGCTAACTATCGGTAAAATCGAGTTTTTAAACAATACTACTTGTTGACTATTGAATATCTCTAAACTAAATGTATGGTTATTACAGATTTCACAACTGAATTAAAAAAAAAAAACAATACTGAAACTAACATAAACGACGCCCAATGGCACCATAGGCTGCATTTGACTTGTGATTCATTTCCAGAAATGGTCGCCGTGTCGGCAGAATGCAGGGTTCTTTAATTGTAATTTTTAGTATAGATAATTAATGTGTGAAATAAAGATAGTAATTAATAATGATTCATAGTTTCAAATTATTTATCTGCCGATAAATGAAAGGGAGAATATAATTGAGTAAAATACGATGGGCGCGGGCAGTTGGAATAGAGATGTGGTTTTATAGTTTATAACAATAATGAAAGACTCAGGGGTTAATAATGATCAATGCTACAGCTTACATTAAAATTTTCCATCTTCGAATTATGTATATTTATTTCCAATTTGAAAAAAATATTTACGAACTAAAAAAACTCCATGACTTGAAAAAAATTTTCCTGACTTTTCAGACTTCTTTCTTTCTGTATTGAAAATTCCCTGACTTTTCCCATTTTTCCAAGTCTGTCGCCACCCTGTTTAACTAATCATATACAGAGTATTTCATGAGTAAGGGGAAAAACTAATTACGCTGTACAGGATAAGCAAGTCAACTTACTGTTCAACAGTCCTCTGTCAGGGAGGACACACAATACTGCTGAACAGGATTGGAAGTGAAGGAGTGCTACCTATGCACTCTGACACTCTAATCCGAGAATATCAGGACCGAATATATAAGGTTGAGATAGATAGCAGCAGAAGTCATAAACCAAATAGTGGAATAAATTGCTATACAGATGGCTCTCTAACAGCCTTCGGCTCTGGAGCAGGCATCTATCGCAAAGATATAAAAGAAAAAATTTCTATACCACTTGGCAGGTATGCTTCAGTGTTTCAATCCGAGATACTGGCAATCTGTCACTGTGTACAAAACCTACTGCAAACCAATGTGACTGAGAAAAAGATCACCATCTTTACTGACAGTCAGGCAGCAATAGGTGCTCTTGACAATTATTATGCTTATTCAAAGGTCGTTAAGGAATGCAATAGAGCACTTAACGAGCTAACTGAGCACAACAGAGTTGCAGTGGAGTGGGTGCCAGGCCACTCTGGCATACCAGGCAACGAGATGGCTGATGAGCAAGCCAGGTTGGGCTCAGATACTATTCCTATAACTCCCGAGCCTGTCTGTGGAATCAGCCTTAGCACTGCCAAGGGCAAGATCAGGGAGATCTATGGGAACAAATTTAGGAATTACTGGACCGACAAGAAACAGAGACATTCGAAGCTGTTCCTTGAAGGCCCATGTAAAAAAAGAAGTAAACAGCTACTGAACATGGACAGAGCAGCTCTTAAAAAACTTACAGCGATCTACACAGGTCACTGTAAGTTAAATAATCATATGTTCAATCTCCGAGTAATGACGAATCCGCTATGCAGATTCTGTCAGGAGGAGAATGAAACAGCTTTTCACATCATATGCAGATGTGACAAGTTTATAAGGCTGAGACTGGTGGTATTTGGAGGAACAGATGGATCTCCCCAGAAGATTTGAGTCGGTCAACCCAACCAGCCTACTTAGATACGCGGAAGCGACAGGACTAACGTTTTAAACAAAACGACCTAGTGAATATTGGCCCACAATGGACCCAAAGGGGTCGACGTGCTTAAAGCCAACATAAAAAAAAAAAAAGAAAAGGGGAAAAACTTAAAAGGGTAATAGCAGACCTAGGAAGCTACAAAAAAGTTTATATAAACAATGGTCCTATTTTCTTAAGAAAATTATGAAATTTAAAATTTGTGTTTTTTATAAGTAAGCCTCGTTTTTTGTTAAATGGAAAGCCATATAAACAAATAATTAATTAAAGTAATTAGTCATTGTTTCTCTGTAACAAAATATACTTCAAAGAAAAGTAGAATTTGTCATTATTAAAAACATTTAAAGATGACTTTTGAGTGGATAGACTAACCAAGCTAAGTTAGGTTTAAAAATTATTCACGAATATCATAGATTAAGACATCAGATCATGAATTATACTATAGATACCCCAGTTTTAGAAAAACTTTTATGTTTAGTAAGCTTGAAGTCCATATTAATTAAGTAGAAGTTGAAAAAAATGAGGTGATTTGATATTCTTTTACCTGAAAGTAACTCTTTTTTTCTATGTCCTGGAGTGTATTATAATAAGAAAAAAAAACTGCACAAGCAGACATTTTGTTTAAAAAAAAAAAAAATTAAAAATAACAATTTTTCAAATATTTATCATCTAAATTGAACATGAAACTTTTTAATTAGGGTCTCTACCATAGAAATTGATCTGATCAACTAAATGTTTCCAATCCTAATATTTACATTTAAAAAGAAATGTGTTGATAATTAGAATTATTTTCATGAAAACGTAAATATTAGGATTGGTTTCTTTATCTTTTTGCATGATAAATAAATTTAAATTAAACAAGCCAAAATAAATTTCTAAACTATCAATATGTTGCCAATTCAGATATTTTTATCATTACTACATTAAAAGATTAAAGAGTAGTTCTGAGCTAATAGTGACATTTTCAAATACTTTGAATTAAAAGCCTTTTGTTTCGTAATCTTCTAAAAATTGGTCTTGCTATATTCACTTTGTTTCTAACATCAATGTGTTTCTCAACAAAATGGATATTTTTTTATGGATGTCATAGGTAATGTGAATTCTTCCTTAAGGTTTATATGTTTATTAAAAACTTTATTACATTTAAATAAATATAATTTTTAAAAACAAATTTTTAAGTTGATGTCACTTACTTGTAAATAGCATTTCAAGAGGGTTGTATCAATTATTTGTAACAATTGTTCATTTTTCTTTTTTTGATTTGAAAAGTGATCCAGTACTTGCTTATCTGGTTCAATATTCTTATTTTCAAGCATTACCTTATGTCTCACCTATAAAATAAATGAAAAAAAAAGCAACATTAATTAGCATCTTCAGGGCAGAAATAATTTCTTTGATTAGAATGAAACAGTTTCTAACTTCTAGCCCTCAACATAGAAACATAACCTACTTGTAAATTATTGAACGAAGAATTGTTTTCAATCGAATTGTTAGTCCACTCCTCCCTCATCTTTTAGGCTTTATGAGGTTTTTCCTGGGTTAGGGAAGAGACCAGAGATTAATGCCAAAGTTAAAAGTCCATCCTGCACCAGGACTCGAACTTATAATTATGATATCACATTAACATCAGTTACTCAGTCGACCATCCCTTAGAGATTAGCTTTCTTATTTCTGTTTACTTCCATTTCTGTAACATACAAGAGTCACCGATTTGTGACTGTAGAGAGGGGCTGGCCCTCTGCACACCCTTCCTTGACACATATGGAACAGAAATCATTTTCTTTTCAGACTTGGAGACTAAGAACTGGTTATTTGTTGGACCTTAGGTTTGTGAATAGATGGTATACCAATGCTCCTTGGCCCACTAGAATTGTTATAGGACTAGGGGATTGAGCAAACTGTAAAAGCTCGTTGGATTAATAAGCTCAGTTCCCAAAACCAGTCAGTCGATCTTTACCAAATATTCTTACCTTCAATTCTGAGAACCTGTGTGATAGTTCATTTTATGTTGATATAACATATATCAAGTATGTTATAAGATAAAAGATAGGTTTGAGCATATGATAATCCATTTTGCAATGACCATTAAATGCTGTAATTTAGCTTAAGGAAGCTCTGTTTATAGACAGGGACCATCAAAGAAAAACTTTAAATGGGGCTGTTTGCTTTTCCATCATAAACCTGGTTCCCTGGTACATAAACCTGGTAAAATGTAAAATAGCCTGGAAATAATACAATGGCAAAGAAAGGCACTGAATAGAGAGCAGTGGCGAAAAATAGTGGAGGAGGCTCAAGTCCTTGTAGGGCCGTAGCAGAAAAAGGTTATTCAGAATTCCAGTGTAACCTTTATCAACCTTTGATCTGATGAAATAAATGCTTAGTGCTCCTGTGGTGGCCCGACCATCAGTGTAAATAGTAATTCTATTCTCTTCCAGCCTATTGTTCAGTAGCGTCGAAACACAATGATCTATCCTCAGCAGTTCCAACTGTTGCATATTTGACGAACATATATACTTACATTGTATCTATCATACCTCCATACTCTGGCTCCTGTACCACAGACCATGAGCCATTAATGTCTGTATCACCATTGATGCTATTATTTGACTGTGTTGCCTAGTACATTTTTACCCTCCCCTTCCTCGCCTTTTTGGCTACATGGAGTTTTTCCTAGACCAGGGAAGAGGGTTTGGGATTATTGCCAGAGTAACAGTCCCCCTGGTCACCAGGATTCAAACTCGTAATCTTCAGTTTATCAGGTTGCCAGGAAATACGTATTTTGAATACACGTTAGCCCATTTGTCCAATTATATGAGGTAGGATTTTATTACCAAGAAGCCTCTTTAAGAATTTACAGCCCATTCTAGCCAGTAGAAGATAATAGTATTGGCTTTGGCTCATATTCCTTTGGTTACAAGTGAAGTGATGCATTGGGTTTGAACTAGCCAAACTTTGGAATTAAAGTTTGCAGAATGCCATCATGTTCTTCAATCAATCTAGCTATCATTCCCAGAAGAGGCAGGCACCATTAGGCTCCTCCACCATTTCCTCTCTGTCAGCTAGTAATATAGAAGCCAGCAAGGTGAAGGTGAGATAAATTAATATTCGACATAATATGTTTGCTAATACCAAATTAGCTAAGATACTATTGGAACCAAATCCACCCTCATTCTAATTCAATAACCTCACTGTATAAGGAGAATGATTAAAAGGTATAGAGAGAACTGGAGGTAGATTCATCCGACTAGATAGACTTTTTAAATCGACACTCCTATCTAGAGTCACAAAACTCAAAATGTACAAATCCTTGGTTTGACCAGTTTTGTGCCATGGAGCCAAAGGCTGGATAGTAGCTGACAAAAAGGCACTAAGGATTTTAGAAAGAAAAATCATGAGACGAATTTTTGGCCCCTTATGCATACAGAGAGTGTGGAGGATAAGGATTAATCGGGAGCTGAATGAACTATTGAAGCACGAGGGTATTGTACGCTTTATTAAAGCTAGAGGAATTAGTTGGACACGTGGAAAGACTGCCAGTTGACAAAGCAACGAAAAAGATACTAAGAGAGGAATTTCCCGGAAAAAGGAAAAGAGGATGACTGAGAAAATGTTGGAGAGGTGACGTGGAAGAGGATTTAAGGAGAATAGGAGAGATAAATTGGAGGATAAGAATGAAAGATAGAGAGGATTGGAAAAAGGTCGTAAAGGAGGCCAAGGTCCACCTCGGACTCTAGAGCCCGTCAGTAAGTAGTAAGATAGACTTTTATACCTTAGTTGAGAGGTAGATTAGCCTCTCTTAATAAACAGAGATATTAATGCCCATAACCCGAACCAGTGATACATTTTAATACAGCTTCATTGACTTTAGCCATATTCACAAGAATTAAGGAAGACATATTAAACTGAATTAGAGAAAATTTCACATTTATTAAGAAAATTCAGAGAATCATACTACAATGGATGCCAAAATTGCTCAATTTTTGACAAGATCTTTCTTGAATTTCTATTGCTTTGTGAATTTTTTTTTGTTTTTAATCTAATTATTATTCATTTTCATAAATGTAAAATAGCCTGGGAATAATACAATGGCAAAGAAAGGCACTGAATAGAGAGAAGTGGCGAAAAATAGTGGAGTGGGCCTATGCATGTATATTTACATTTTATATTCAAGACATAAAAATTCACTGTTCTTAGAAAAATTTGATATAAAGATTTTTAATATATAGAACTTTTGAAATATTGATTGTATATAGGCAGGTATAAATAAAATATAACTTAAATAATAAAACTTAAACAAAAATGTTTCTGCATAAAAAAGGAATAATATTATTAGCAAGTAACTTCTTCTTACGTGAGTAAGGTATGTAATTAAAGCAACATAGCCAGCTTCTTCTAATTCATTATCACCTCTTCCTTCATCGCCACTTTGTAACAGAAGTCCAGGAAATAATTTAATAACTTCATAAGGATCTAAAAACCAGCATTAATAAACAAAATAAAATAATATAAATTAAAAATAATGTTCAAGTAGAAATAGTAAAAAAAAATGTCTATATTAAATATAATGAATAAATTTAAGGAAGCTGATAAAATAAACTAAAAAGAAAATATTCATAATTTAAAAAAAAAAACTAGGGCTAGGAGGGGTTGCGAAGAAAATTAATCCATGTGGTCCAGTTTTCAGCAATGTACGCATCAATGAAATGAAATAAAGATTTTTGGCTGTTTTTATGTTCTAAACTAACTGTGATATATAGAAAATAAGACAAAATGTAAAATACCAGTTTATATCTTACAGTTACTTGAAAAGTAAATGTGTGTTTCTATGCAAAAACGTAAGGCAAATCCTTTATGGTTTACAGTTGTTTGAGATCTTACCTTCAGTCTTTTTTAAATACTATAACAAAATAAATCATGAAATATGCAATACATGCTTGTGCAGAAGGGTTTTACTCTTTGAAAATCCTTTCGACAGTTCCATCTAGACCGTCCCAATATTCTTAAATAACCGCCAATGGGTGCTGAAAACTGAAGGTTTTACCCTATATGTTCTTTCTCAGGTCCTCTTTATTTTAACATTATATTTTTCATCAATAATACTTTTCGTATACTGTAAAGTGAATTTTAAAAACAGTTGTACAGTATGTCCTTAAAATAAAAAATATTGTAAAAAGATATTCAAATAATTTTGTATATAAACTCCTCGATGTTATAATTATTCATGAATGTAATGTAAATCAATTAATGTATTGATCATAAACATGATATATGTAATAATTACTTGTTTTTAGTTCTAAGAACTCTGCCATTGATTTTTCATACTTCTTATTGTGAAACAAATCAAATGCATACAATGTTTGGATCTGATGAACATTTTTTTGTTTCTCCTCTTCTGAATCATCAGCTACATTCTAAATAAAAATAATAATAATTATTGCAATGATTTAATTAGATGGGACAAAGAAATAATATTTAATGTTTGAGGGTTACAATAAAAAATAAAATACATATTAAATTATTACGACATTTGATAGGTTAGCTATTTTTATTTATTTATTTTTCTGCTGGCTTTATAGATATTTTGCCCCCTGAACTAGGTGGGGAACTTCACCTATCTTCTTGGACTACTGATTTATAGTTTATTAAATGCAGCTCCACAGCATCTTAGTTGATTCTACCTATCCATTTGGTTTTTGGTCTCTCACATGATCTCTTTATAACTACTGATGCATTCACTGTAGTGTAGCGGCTTCCTGATGCATTGCTTCAAGCTACATGTCCAGCTCTAACCTCCTTGCTTTCATATCAGAAGATAATGATTGATTTATTGATCCTCCTTCTTTATGCATTAGTACTCGATCCCAGATTGTTCTAATTATCGTGTGAAGAATTTTCCTCTCAAAATGAAATGGTGTTATACCCTCTGATAGCATTATACCCTCAACATTTTAGATCTCTAGAGATTTTTTGGTATTTTATGCCTTTGAAAGAGAAAAAGTTCTGATTTTGCTAATAATAAGCAGGTTCATTTATGACCATCGGTCATTTATAGTAGTTATAGTCAAGCCTAGGTATTTGAATCTATCTATTTTTGTGAATAATTTCTCTTCTGAGCTGATCATATAGTTGGAGTATGTATTTTGGTTTACTGTCATGCATTTTATTTCATCTTCATTAATTTTAGACAGATTTGCTCCAGTTTTCTTATCAGATTCTCAGTGATACGAAAATTCTCACTGATTCTCAGATTCAGATTCTCACTGCCCTCTTGATTGCTTCCAATACAGCTATATTATCTGTATATCCTAAGATTTCAAGATTTATATCCTTAGTTTTTATTATCATCTTATCATCACCTTCTCCAGGACTAAGTTAAACAGCATCGGTGAGAGCCCATTCCCCTGCCGCAAACCAATTTGAACTTTGAAGATTTCAGATAATTCTCCTTAAATAAGTAATCTTTATATAGGATCATTTGTAGATGCCTATGTAAATCTCATCAATCGTAGGCTGCTTTGAAATTGACCAATAAAGTGTGCACATCCTGAGCTAATTCCTACATATTTTTTTCAACTTGCCATGAGTATAACTAAAGTATGTCTGAGTAACAAAAGTTTATAAAAATAAAAATCTCAGATGGCATGTTTTAAGATTTTCAAAACAATTTGAAAAAAATGTTTGTTTTAATGTTTTAAAATTAGCACTAAATTGTATATCTACAAGCATTTTTGTAATAAAAAACATAATAAAAATTAGACTATCTCTACAATTTTCAAAAATTAATATTAAAAAAATACTCAGGAATTAAATAATTCCTTTAAAATAAAAATAATAAAATTGTATATATATATATATATATATATATATATATAGATAGATAGATAGATAGATAGAAAAATAATTTTATTCTGGGACGAAGTCCCTTCAGAATAACAAAAAAGTACAGAAATTAAAATTTTACATCTGGCCAGATAAAAACAAACATAACAAATTAAGATAATGATAAGTCATTAAAGAAAAGAAAAGAAAAAAATATTGGTTATACATACTATATACAAAATAAAATATAAAAATCTATATAAAAAACTCTTGAAACCATACTAAGATATTTAAAACTATGTACGATGTTAAAATATAAATAAACCCTTTTAGAAAAAATAAAAAATACAGAAAAAATAAATGTATATTCTTCTTAACAGTAAAATCTGTTTCTGTTGAAACAGAAAAAAAAAAAAAAAAAGAGAAAAAGAAAGTCGAATCTATAATAAGTATTCAGGTCATGAGCTATATGTGAATATGGTCTTATATATAATGTGTAATTTTACATAAAAGATTAGCTGGTGCCTGACTGTTTTTGGGACAGGAATTGGAATAGGAGGGTTTTGAATGTAGATAAGGATGAAGAATGTCGAATTTTGATTGGAAGGGAATTCCAGAAACTAACAGAACGTGCAATAAAGGAGTTTTGGAACGAGGCAGATCTGTGAGAAGGAATGTAAAGGTCGGAAGGTCGAGATCTTGTGGAGAGGGAGTGGACTGAGGACTTGAATTGGAGAAGGTTGTAGGCGTAGGAAGGACGATGATTGTTGATGATATGATAGAGGAATGTACCTAGGAAATATTGTCTTCGAATGGAGGGGAAGAGCCACTCTAACTCAGTGTAATGGTGAGAGACATGGTAGTATCTCGGGGCACCAATTACAAATCTCACGCAACTGTTCATTGATGTATATATACATCATGATGTAAATATTACATAGTAAATTTAAACAGTGACGTCATGAACTACTATCAAAAATGGACAAGAGGCGGAGAAAGACAGATAGAAGCAGAAGCAAGAGCCATATGTTAAGGAGAAAGTGACCAGATGGGAAGGAAAGATCATGGAGACCAACAGAGAGTGACAGGTGACCAACAAGTAGTGAGTGTCTAGACGAAGACAGGAAAATAGAAGATTAAAAGAAGACATTGTAGAAGTTTAATACAATAAAGCCTGCAGCATCAATACAAAGGAAGATTCACTGAGGACCAGAGAGAGTGCAAAATAAATAGTGACATTTAGAAAGTGCCAAGAGTAGACCCCGACAAAACTGAATGGAAATTCATAAATATTTCATAGAAAATGGATGTATGCTTTTGGATTATATAATTAAGGAATGCGTGTTGTCCCAACCCAACCTGAGAAATAATTTATAGTAATTTAAAATAATTTTGTAAAATAAATATAATTTGGTTCAGAAACTGTTTGTTTACCTCAATAGCATTTCACTGCTTAGAAATAATTCAGACTTTACTAAGATGTCAACGCGTCATTTTCGAATAATTTTGTTTTACAAGTTTAAACTTGGCCAGAATGGGGCCCAGATGGCCAGAAACATCAATTAAGTCTGGGGCGAGAGTAGCAATAATGAGTGCTCTGTTGAACGGTAGTTCAATAAATTTTGGGAGGTAGACCTCAGCCTTGAAGACAAAGAAGATAGTAGAAGGACTTCCTCTCTTGATGGCGATGTTCTGCAGGATTTGGTGGAAGAATAACCTAGAAGAAACTGTTCGAGAACATGAAGGGAAACTTTACCTTAGCAAATCGACCTTCAAAGACCACCTCAAGGCGATTGGAAAGGTAAAAAAGCTTAAAAGTTGGGTGCCACACACCTCAGCAGAATTGTTACTTGTGATGAAAAGTGGATACTTTATGGAAATACTAGACGTTGGACAGTAGCTCAATAAAGGAGAAGCAGCAGAACATTTTCCTAAGCACCCAACTTACCAAAAAAAGATGATGGTTGCTTCAGTTGCTTCATGGTGGGCTTCATTTGGTTTGATACACTGCAGCTTCTTAAATCCAGGAGACACCATCAATGCTAAATTGTATTGTAACCAAATTAATGGAATGCATCAGAAATCGGCACTAATGAAACCATCTTTGGTCAATCGGATGGGGCCCATTTTATGCATGACAACACCCGGCCACATATCTCATATGTGATGTCACAAAAGCTATTGGAGATTAGATATGAAACTCTGCCATATCCACCCTACTCTCTGGACTGTTCACCTACGGATTATGATCTTTTAAGACACCTGGACCATTACTTACGTGACAAAAAATTTAATGGACAAAGGGAATTTAAAAATGTGTTTTTGGAGTTTATCAATTCTAAAGATGAGAAATTCTATTCCGAGGGAATGGAAAAGTTGGAAGAAATGTATTGATAGTAATGGAGACTATTTTGATTAAATAAAACAGTTGAAAATCTTTCTTTTTTCTTTTCAAACCAAAATCCTGCATTATTTCCCAGACAACCAGAATGACCCTAGAGAGAAATGCCCAATAGGCTGGGAGAAAATAGAGTCTATATTAACAACATGATAATATGAATTAGAAATAATAATATATAATTACCGCTAATTTGAGAGCTAGTTCAAAGTGCTTGCCTTGAAGCAATAATTTAATTTGCCTGTGAAGAGGTATAGCAGTCATTAACCAAATTTGATCTGTAGAGGCAAGATAAGCAACCTGAAACATGAAATAAGAATTTATGTAATTGATGAGCGTTTGTTTTTATAGTTTTCTTGAGAACTAGAAGTGATTCAAAGCTTTTTTTTTATTTATTAATTTAATGAAATTTACAACTTTATAAACAATACAACTAGTAAAAATGCACATATAGAAATCATGACATGAACAGACTTGAAGAGATACTGCCCAGTGGTAGTACTCCCTATAATTCAAAGCTAACTACCAATTTATCAAGAATACAAGTGTGAGGGGAGGTCAGAGGTAGTGATGGGGTGTGACAGAGATTTTCTGTCACAGCTACGACAGTGACAGCTCCGGGAAAATCACTGTGACGAATCACACTGATTTTTTTTTTCTGATAAGTATATAACGCTTCGCGAAAGCATCACTGTGAAATCATAGTTTACGTGTTTAAAATTATATTGAAATAATTTTTTTTTTTCTAGTGATAAATTTTGTATTTGACGGGGGGAAATATCTGAGGGATCCCTTGGTTTCTGTATACAGCCCTGCAGAAAATATTTGAATTTATTTACATTTTGATTAATTTCTTTCATTAATTTATATTTCAACAGTTAAATGAAAAACTTTCTGTTAATTATTTCAGACATGACTCATTCAGAAATATATGGCAATGAATATTCAATTCATCAAAGTTCAAAAAGTATTTTTAATAAAATTTGACGAATAACTATTATTTTAGAAATAATTATTTAATGATTATTTCTTTAATTCATTTATTAAATAAATGAAGTCAACAATGCCCAGATCGCTGAAGCAAAAAAGAAGTGATAGAGCGGAGTGATCAGAGCTGTGATTTCACAGCGCCTACAGTGATTGTCACTGTTGGAGCGCAGTGATAAGAAGTGAGATTTCACAGCGCTTATCACAATTGAAGTGCTGTTCTCAGTGTTGTGTCCGGAATGCTACTCGTTAATTCTAATTAAATGATTTTTAAAATTTAATTCGATTACAATTTTAGGTACTTATTTAGTAGCGGGTAGCGTCCGACTGCTATCTGCCAATGTTTATAACCTTAACACTGATAAGCTATGCGTATTCATTTTTATTGTATTATATTCATATTATTATATCTTTTTATTCATATTTATAGTATTGTATTGATATTATTGAAATTGTGAACAAAAACAGAAACAAATTTAATAATAAAAAGATACTTTTATTTTACAACATATATGTACTTTCCTCTCGCGTAGTTCGACGACTTTGCCAGGCCCTCCAATTTTTTTATTCGACCTGTATAAGATGTCATTGGCACAAACTTCTCTTAAAAATTTGTTCCATGCTACGATAGTTGCGATGTATAGTTTGAGCTGCTCTTTTCCCCACTGTATTGTTGTAAAAAAGAAATCTTCGACCCCTCTAACCACGTTCCTTTCCTTATAGAAACAGTTTTGTTACAACCACGAAAGCATCTCCATTTAATCTTCTCGTCGAACTCCATTTTATGACCTTTATCACAATATTTCACCTTTGCGAATATCCCGGCGTCTTGAAAATATTTTATAGCCTCTTCTTCTGAAGACGGCAATTCCCACAATGTGACAACATCCATAATTAAATAACACTAACTCACAGCTAACACAAGAAACAAAAAATAAAAAAGGGAATAACTTAGGTTAGAGGAGATAAGGGAGGTTATGTGAAATGAGATTAGATAAGAAGGGAGGTTTTGAGGCTACTCGCTACTAAATAAGTACCCAATTTTAAATGTGGTATGAATGGTAATATTGAGTATTTATAAATTGGCCCTAGAAAAGTAATTTGTACAAATATTTTGATCTATTATGTTAAATGCAATATTGTAATAAGATCTACTTATTTCTATATTATTATGCTTTTCCTTCACTAAACAATATATTTTGCGAATTGCTCACATGGGCCAGCGGATTCATATGATAACCAGGTTCCCTTATGTATTCTTCTGTGCTGGAAGAGTGACCCTCCAATAACCATTCCCTTGGATGCAACAAAGTTAACGAGGCGCTGGCCATTTTCATTAGTTTGTTCGTGAAGTAGGGAGATAGATCTCTTCCTTTCCAATCTTAGCATTAGAGTCTCCAGTGATGATCTTGATGTCGTAGCTTGAGCAGGTGTCGAGGGTTCTTTCAAGAGAGTCATAGAAACTATCCATTTCTTCATCATCACCTACTTCCGTGGGAGCGTGTTCACAGATGATGCTATAATTGCAGACCCTCTCCTGTATTCTGATGTGGCATATTCTGGGACTCACAGGTTTTCATCTAATCACCAGCTGTCTGAATTTACCCATAACAACGAACCCCACACCAAACTCGTGGGTGTTCTCACGGCAGCTGGAAAATATGGTGTGGTTCTTCTTCTACATTATGCCTTGGCCCGTCCATCGGATTTCCTGAATGGCAACTATGTCTAATTTGTAAAAATCTTTTTGATCTAGGAGCAGTTCCAGGTCGATATAAGGACAAGGTGTTCCAATGTCCTATGTCAAAGTTCTGACCATTTCATGGGGGGCGCCTGGTTGTTTCCTTAAGAGACTGATCACTTCCGAGGCTGTTGGGTTTCATGATACAGTTATTTAAGGGGAGCTGGTTATCATATTATTATTTCTTGTTATCACATTTACTGAATGTATTTTTATTCTTAACACAGTTGTAAATATCACTAATAAAAAAATTAGAAAATTATCTTTCTACATCAACAGGCGTGGTAGGGGCAAATTTATATCCACTTAAAATTACCAGGTTGAGGTCAATGTTGCTGGGAACATTGAATCTTAGCCATTTAAAATTTTGTTAATACCTTAGAGAATGGTGAGACCTAATTTTTTTCCAAAAACTTCTTCCATTTTTTTAAAGAGAATTATTAAAGTTTAGAGTGGAAGGTGGGTGCTAAGTCTTCAAATGTGGTTGATTTTATTGTTTCGTTCATAGAATTGTATATCTTCAATGTTGCATTTTAATTTATATATATAAATAAATATTCATTTACATACATACCAAGTCTATTGTAATCTTTTCCACTTCAAATGTAATCTTTTACAAATTAATTCACACTTGATTAAATTTGATTTGGAAAAGGTTGCATTTGAAATGGAAATGTTTACATCTGATTTGTTAAGGGTTACATTTGAAATGGAAAAGGTTACAATGGACTTGGTATATATGTAAATGAATATTTATTTATATATACAAATTCAAATGCACATTGAAGATATGCAACTCAAGATTCCAATCTTAGGTTTATTTTCAATGAACGAAACAATAAAATCTACCACATTTGAAGACTTTGCACCTACCTTCCACTATAAACTTTAATCATTTTCTTATTAGATGTTCACCAATTCAAAGAAATCCATTTTCCCTCCTTGTCCCATGTAAACAGTTCTTTGTAAGAGATCATATTTCTGTTTATTTAATTTGCCAAAAGTATGTTCATAATTCTTATCACATTTGAAATCTTGAATTTAACCTTACAACAATAGATATAAAACAGTTTTTGCAGCTGACGGGAATCCAGCAGTATCAGGCTAAGTGGGTGAAACCTTAAATTAAAAAAATGGAAGAAGTTTTTGGAAAAAAATTTAGGTCTCACCATTCTGGAAGGTATTAATAAAATTTTAAATGGCCAAGATTCAATGTTCCCAGCAACATTGACCTCAACCCAGTAATTTTAAGTGGATATAAATTTGCCCCTATCATGCCTGTTGATGTAGAAAGATAATTTTCTAAATTTTAAATTTTTTTATTACTGATATTTAAAACTGTGTTAAGAATAAAAATACATTCAGTAAATGTAATAACAAGAAATAATAATATGAAAACACTTGTTGAGGAACTACCCACTGGTAGCACTCTAAAAATGTATTTACAATAGGACATCTCGAGGTAATCTTCTTTTCAGACGACTCGGAAGGTTCTCAGGGATCGAAAAGGAAGCAAGGTTAGAAATGAGAGGATTCGGATGGTTTTGAAGTTTATTATGGAAGGATAGGTATCTGGATTGGGCCAAATTAGAAACATAAGGAACATTAAGGTCATTATGGATGACTTTATTAGTGACAAACCTAAACCTGTACCACTACAACCCATGAAGGGTCTAGGATTCAGTACTATTTAGGAAAAGCACTGTTTCTAGGTCAACGGTTGTGCAAGGAGGTGATTTGAACGAGATCACGCTCAACCGCCAGGTTTTCCCCTTTAATCAATTATTTAATTAAGGGTACCCACTTTATAGAGGCTGGGTGTGCCCCAGGAGGATCTCCCGACCCAGGATCGCCCCACGGCCAATAAAACAGATAAATAAATTTTCTGCCATGAACCGGAGTTTGAACCTGGGACCTTTGCATTGGAAGCTCAGTGCCCTACCACTGAGCTACCCCACTCCCTTGACAAGTGACAAGATAAGGTATAAAATTTTTTAACTGAGCTAAAGCTAAAAGAATACAGCTAACAAATCATAAATACCATTAAAGTAACATGAGTCCTATTTATTATATCACTGGTTGATTATGGATTGTACGATCTGTTGATTATGGATTCACGATCCGTTGATTATGGATTGTACGACTATTAGTTATTTAACTGTTATTTTCCATTGCAAAGTTTACTAAAAAGGAATTAAGAGATTTGCATTGTCTGCCATAGACAGGTCAAAAGTTATCACATTAATTGTAAGTGGATATTGTTGGAATATCACAAAAGGAAATTTCATCAAACTATTCATTAATTTAATTTTCTAAAAGGTTACATGACAATATTTTGGAATAAACGGACATTAATACATAATTATTTAAATGTAATATCAGATCTAGAGTTATTAAACTACAGTAAATGTATTTAAGGCTATAAACATATGCTTTATACATCCATGAAATGATTTTATTTTTTACTTCTTCTTTCACACAAATGCAATGAAATAGTTTTTTAAACAATGTCATTGCCTTAATTAGGTGGATTTTGAATACTTTATTCAAACAGAAAAATATTTTAAAAGTTTACATTTAGTTAATAAATTTCATTTAATTCCCTTGAAAACATGTGATTTACGTTCAATATTATTAGTTTTCAAAAATTATTATTTATAACTTTTTTGCTACTCTCCATTACTTTCTACAACTTTTTATATTAAATATTGTTTTCTCTAAAATTCTCTGATTTCCAAAGATATATTATATGTATACCTTCTGACTAGTATTTCCAGAGATTCATTTTCGACCTGAATAAGCATGTTTATTTTTTTCTCCTTTATTCCATTATCAAATTCTTTCAAAAGTTATATTTGTCATTTTTTTCTAACTCTTAATAATGAGAGATAGTTAATTATTTAAAATAAACCATATTAAAGGTACTTTAGAGGAAGATACATATGAACCTTTGGCATTTAAGCCCTGTAAAGTGACATCAATGGAGATAAGACCTAAATGATATTAAAGACCACTGAATTATACAATGATATGATGATACAATGAGTTTAATCAAAATCATTAGAGCCATTTTTGAAAAATTGTAAAAATGTGTTTCAGCATTGATGGCACTTCTGTTTAGCCAATTTTAAGGAAACAGTTGCTAGGACATCTAAAGTATATACCTATCTTAAATACGTAATATCAATTTCAGATACACACAGTGTTAGTATTGAGTGTTCAAATACACACAGACCATTTTTCGGGACTTGATTATTTGGACTCAGGGTACTCCAAAACGTATATTTCCGATGAAAATTCAGATTCCAAAATTTTCACGATTGCAATACTTACCCTTACTATATATAAAATATATATGTAAGTGAAAGTAAAAAGTTACACTTGAAATCGAAAAGGTTAAATTTGATTTGTAAAGGGTTACATTTGAAGTGGAAATGCTTCGTTAATTAAATTAATTGTTCATTTAATTAAATTAGTCAAACTGCACAATTTCATGCATTCATCATCAAATATGTAAAAATATGCAAAATAAAATTTGGCTAATTGCATCACAGTGTACTAATTCGTATAGATATTTCATCAGCGGTTAAAAAAAATTATGCAAACAAAATATGCAATTGTATAAAATTCCGGGCTCTGCTTATAACAATGAGTCCATTTTAAATAGTAAAATTTTGCCTTAAGGCAGAAGAAACCTAGTCTTTAAGTACTTAGTTATTGATTCATTATAGCATTATTTTAATGATACCTTTATTTAACCTCAACCTTCCCATCAAAAATTGAGATTGGCGATTATGACTACTTACTCCTGATTTTCCTTTGGTAAATGCTTTTGCCTTAACTGGCAACGGAACAATATCCAATGGATCTTCAAGTCCCCAACATCTTATTTCAACTGATTCACCTAGCAGCCCAATCAAATATGGTTCATCATATCCTAAAAAATACAAAAAAACAACTTGTAAATGAAGTTGATTCCAATATAAAATATATATAAAGGAAAACCTCTTCATAGGAATAGGACACTTGTAATAAATTAAATTGTCCATAATAGAAAAACTGAAATATAAAAATGATAAGAAATTATAAATTACTGAATTAAAATTGTATTTTATGATCATATTTGTAAATTTTCATGTTTTGATTTCAAATTTACAATTTAAATATACTTTTATTAAGAATAATATTTCCTTTATAATAAATACACAAATGAATTTTTAGCAAAAATACGTCCAACTTTAAAATTGTATAGTATTATATTGTAAATTCTGGGAAAATGAATATAAGAGGTAAAGAATATCAAAGATAAATGCTGCGATATTATTATATATATGAGCATATTTATGAATTAAGAAATCATTGCAGTAATAACCAATGCAGGAGTGAACTCAGACACAAGCTCTGAAAATCCATCTAATTATGAAACTGAAATATTGTGAAAGTGTGTTGTAAAGAAGACAAGGCAATAATACAAAATCAATACATTAAAATAAAACTGTATGTATATAGAATGTTCCTTGTGAAACTTTGTAATTTTTTTTCTTCAAAAATTGATAAATTATTGTTTATTTATTAATACTTATTTGTATTTAGATTATTCCAAACAATTTTCACATTTATAGCTAAATGAAACACATATTTTTGTAACAAAAAAAAACTATTTATTATTTCTTTTGTTTTTTAACCAAATTGTTTCTATAAAATTTACAGATTTTTGATAAAACTGAAAAGAATGTGTGATATACAATTACATTATAATTGTATAATGTGTGCAGGGAGAAGTGTTACCTCTCCTCTCGTGGAATCATCACATTTGTCCACTGAGAACTAACTGTGGGCGAGCTTTAGATCTGAGAAAGATTTTAACCTAATAATGTCCGTAATACCCAAAGCAAACTATTTTCATGTGGATGAAATAGCCATCATTAGAAATACAATTCCATGCCAAAGATTAGTATGATTCACCTGCCTTGGGCAATTCCTGTTTTCAAGCGCAGCATATATATTATGTTTCATAAATTATATGAAGTAGTTCTGAATTCATAACCTTATTTTTATTTTATTTTGTGTGTGGCCTAATTCAAGGTGACCTTTGTAGATTGCTGATTTTTAGGTTGTTGTGTATTGTACAGTATTATTTGGTATAGTAGTTATCGAGTGCCTCTTATGCTGCTAGGCTGTCAAAGTAAATTACCTTTCAGCTTTTCTTATAACACGGTCACAACTTGCCAGCTTTTCTAATTGAAATACTGAGGCAAATTAGCCAAGATGAATTAAAAACATTTAGGATTATATTTTTTGAAGCTATCTGCTCCTGAGCCATATGTGTAGCACTTTTTGTCACTGTTAAGGTCTGCACTGATTCCTTCTGTCAATGTAGACACGATATTTTGTGTCAAGATATTTTCAGATTTGTATATCAGATTGCATAACTAACACTCCGTCACGTTCAATTCTTTGAAGAAGTGTACAGTATCCTTCCTGTTCCAGAATATTGGAATATGTCTTTTGTTAATTAAGCTTGTAAATAGTTTTAAAGGCTTAGGATTCTATCTCCAGTTTAAGTGGAGGTATGTTAAGCATTATCTCCATACCAGCTGCTGGAATACATTGTACCACCAAAGCAAAGCTGAGTGAAGCAAAATATGTGCCTAATGGCAGATATATAATGGTACAATGTGTCTAATATCCATGATATACAAACAATAGACTATTTTACGTTTGAGTCCTCAGTTTCTTCCGATGGTTCTTTTAAAAACTCATAGGCATTTGAGCTTTTTTAGTCATGTTGTTGACTTCACTAGTACAGAACAGTTAGAGATACAGTATTTTTCTCTCCTTACATTGAGTTAGCTGGATCACATTTATTTTTGGCAATTTGAATCTCTTTTTACTGAAGATGCAGACATTTAACATGTATGCATTGATGTTCAGCCCACTAGTTTCACACCAGTCCATCAGTATATGAATGAATGAAAATAATTTTATTATTCTGGGACTAGTGTCCCTTTAGAACAAATAACAAATACAGAATATATATTAATATTCTGGTGTGTCCATAAAATACAATTAAATATTTACAGGATGATTAGTAATAAAATAAAAGTACAGATAATAAAAAGATATAAAAACGTACATAAATATAAAGTAAACGTACATAAATATATGCTTAGCTATTTTTAGAAGACCTAAGAGAACGCATTTATTTACGATATTTACTGCAAATCAGGAAAGTGATGTCATCAGTGTATCCTCGTCCATTTCCCACATTTGCCCGTACATTCCTAGCCACTACTTTCTTTCATGTTTTTTTTTTTTTTTTTAAAGAAACAAACTTTATTCTGGGACAAGGTCTCCTAAGAATAACAATAATGAACGAACAAAAAACAAACAAAAAAATACACATCTGGCCAAAAACTTGCACCATACAACTCCATTCTAGGTAGGCACCCTTTGAACTGCTGATTTTCTTTCTCAAGATTGTTTTTGAACGTTTTGTAATAGATTTACAAATTTAATTAATCAAAATTCGAGACCCTAAAATGCACTTCCCTAATTCCAACCCAAATAACGTACAAATTTCCAATCCTCTAACTCAATTACAAGAGGCAGCGAATGTGCTCTTAAACTTTAAAAAAATGCAGAAACCACAAAAAAAAATTGCGGGAGTGGGTGGAAAAAATTTAAACCCACAAAAAGATCTCTACAAATCAATTTACATACAAATTTTCAATTCATTAACTCAATTAAAAGGGACTGTAAAGCTGCAGAGAACCTTAAAACAGGTGACAACCAATAAAAAAATGGAGTGGATGGAGAAAAAAATATTTAGAACCCCCAAAAAGCTTTTCTCTATTGCCAAAAGTCACATACATATTTTAACTTAATTAGGAGGGGTTGTATATATAAGTAAACCTTAAAAAACGCTAGTACAATGAAAAAAATCTGGTGCAGTGTGCGCATCACACAACTTTCACTTACCACCCCCCTCAGCAGAAATAAGTATTTTCAGACAAAGGAGAAGTGAAAGTAAAAATTATAGATGCTATAATTATTTATATTTCATTGTGGGTATTTTTATTTGTATAAGTACCCTTATATATACAAATTTTAATATTTATATCGGTGTAATCTATACAATTAAATATTAAATAATACCAAAAATGCATTTATGAAAACCGCATATTTATATTTATATAATATAGTCGGAATCCGTATTATATTAAGCTCATGTTACGTATGGAAGCTGTTATAATCTTTCGGGCGAGCTCGGATGCGGTCAATTACAACTATTCTCCGTTACGATTTTTTATTTCTCCTTTAGTTAATTATCAAATTCTTTCATATTTTATATTTAACTATCTTTTATATTAGAAATTAATGTGAAATAGTCAATTGTTTCAAATAAAAAAAATTAAAGGTACTTTAGAGGAAGCTAATATTGAAAATTAGCCATTTAAGCCCTGTTAGAGAACATCAATCAGAATAAAAACTACATTTTATTTAAAACTGCTTAATTTTACACTGATATAATGAATTTAATCAAAATCGTTAGAGCCGTTGCCGAGAAAATTGTAAAAATGTGTTTAGCCCATGATATAAAGTGCCACTTCCGGTCAGTCGATTTTGACGAAAAAGTTACCGTAACATCCCTAGCATATAAAAACCTTAAATATGCAATTTCACTTTCGTACGACTTTTCGTTTTGGAGCTACACTGTTAACACACAGACACACACACACAGACCATTTTGCGGGACTTTGTTATTTGGACTCAGGGGACCTAAAAATGTGTATTTCCGTTGAAAACTGAAATTCAAAAATCTTCACGATCGCAATACTTTCCTTTACTATATAATTCCTATATAGGTAAGTGAAAGTAAAAAGGGCATGGTCGGAAGCAAAAGTTGAGAGCCCCGAGAAGCTTCTCTATATTAACAACTCAATTCACATACAAATTTTCTATAGTTAATTTAGTCCTCTTCATGGATCTCTACTGAACAATCATGATAAAGCTGAAGTATTTTTGACTAATCACTTTATAATCAACTCATAGTTGAACAGAGGGTTATTTGGGGGAGTTAAAAAGTAAAAGAAGTGTTAAGCATCCATTGATGATTAATTTTCACCTGACTTCAAGTTTTGATTAAGAAATCAAAGAATAATTATGAGAAGAATTCAGTTCAAACTGTTAATTGAAAAACAATATCAAAAACTCAGATAAATAGATCAATAAACTGAGTGAGTAAGTGTAGGTTCCATAATTAGTACAGTTACATATTCAAGTTTAGTTATATTAAGGATGACAAAACATGATTAGAACACCATCTTTAATATATTTAAAAATATTTGTATCTATAAAGAAAATGAATAACTTTCACCTGTTGCAATTGGAGGAGCAGGCCATTTGACAGCAGACTGATTAATCGATTCACCCTCAGTGTTTAGAAGAGTCGTGAGTGACTCTTTAACAATTGCAAACATGTCATCAACTTTAATAACTATTGGTTCTGGTTGCCTTCCAGTTGGAAATAACTCTTGTGGCTCAGTACTAGGTAACTTAATAAAAAAAATTAAATACAATAACAGGAATTGAAAAATATTAAAAATAAACACTTTTCAGTCTAACTTTCAGTAGTCATAAAACAATTTTTGAAGCAATAACCAAGAAATATAGCCATCGAGAGAACAGAAAAGACTTATTTTTAGTAAAATTCAGTAAACACAAGCCCAGATTCTGCAGCGATAAATTGATAAATTACTACACTAATAATGGCCTTAGCCTTTAATATTTAAGATATTTAATAAAATTAGATGATCATTTATTGAAATTGAATAATTTGTATATTACATAGTTAATGACAAATTACAAATTGAAATTAACAATGGAATTTGTAACTATGTATTGCAAGTTACAAAAACATCTAAATCAATTCTTAATAGTATCATGTTTCAAAAGTTTTATGTTTTCAAAATCTGAGATATATCACTTTTCTCAGAAGAGGCTAATGTTGAGAAATGACACTCTTACAGTGTAAGAGTGATAGGGCTATAAATATTTACATACCTTTATCATATTAAATGAGTGAATTTCCTTATTACAATCTAGTTTTGTTTAGTTTACAGGCTTTAATATGATATTTACTTTTGCCTAATGTCCATTTAGCCAAGATAAGTATCTACTTCAATTAGTAGGTATTTGAATCAAAATTCATGGAGTACCGTACAGTGCTTTTCTATTTTTCATTTACTATCAGAAAAAAACTAGGAAAAATAATTACTTATGTAATAGAAACATTCAAGGAGACTTTAAACATCACAAAAATCCTGGCAATGGGTCTCGAAAAACTTATTAGATTAACGGAGATGCATGAAATAGTAAAAGCATATATATACCCAAAAGATATTTATTTTTAAGATATTTTAATCAGTTATTTAACGTTTTCTCTAAGCAGGTGAATAGTTTATGAATTGTTAAATAAGTTAAATTGTTCAATATAATCAACGAGATAAGTAAATTATTCAAAATAAGAATAATTAAAACTGCTTTTTCACAAGGGAAGATTTGCATTCATGACTGAGATTAAAATATTTGATGTGCTCCGAATCGTAAAGTTTTACTTGCATATTACATTTTAAAAAACTGACTATAGAAATTGGGACATTTTATCCATCCTAAGGAAATATACAATGATAGGGAAATTGACATCTACGTATTTTTAAACTTGCTGCAATAGTCGGGTGCCTTTCACCATAGATTACAGCTCCTAGCTAATAGATTTCGTTCCATGTATCAGTGCGTGTCAACATCCTAAAGAGTCTTTGAGTTTCGTTGGGGGTGTAAATGCATACACTCATATTTACAGGAGTGATAATGAACACAATAATATTCCCATAAAATTATAATGAGATATTCTTCTTCAGTTATTATAAATTTATTTTACAATAATTAATAATATATATTAAATATGCAAAATTTAATAGCTTCTGAAATCCATGTCCATGTCCATCCTATGCATGTTTTGCTCATTGGGCTCCCATGAATATACACGGTATTTTGATAATAGAAAACCCAAATATCATTAAAAACTTCAAAGGAAAAATACCCCCACAATGTGACTGTTCAAAGGCTGTTTAATTAATAAAAATATTTATTTTTAAGATTATATGAATAGGACAATATTCACTATTACGTCTCCAAATAGAACCATTTTAAATTTTATTTGTTTAGTAATAAGGAATATTTATTCACACTATTATGTGAATATAACAATATTCTTTACCGCACCTGTAAATACAACCAATCGTATTCATATTTACAGCAGTGATAGCAATATATGTGAACAAGATAGCAAATATATGTATTTAGACTTGTAATTTAAAAAAAAAAAAATATACTTTTTTAATAAAACATATTTATATATAATTTTATGTGAATATAACAATATTATTTATTACATATGTAAATACAATTACTGTGGAATGAGGAGAATTTTGTGCTGTAGCCCTCTGATATAAAAAAATAATTTATTTTTTTTAGATTATATTTATTTCTGTGTGTAATCTGTGCTAAGCACTTAAAATATAACAATATGTATTATTTTTAAATTGTAATGTATATAAAGTTACAAAATGTATGCACGTGTTAACAAAAAATAAATAAATATCTTATCTCTGAAAGCACTATTGTTTCTGTATTTCATTTCTTAGCCCAGCATTTTTTTTTTATGATATAATTACCATTATTAAAATATTTTTTTTAAATCTTCCTTAGATATAATTCCTAAATTCACAGCTGATGAATTTGACAGTACTGTTATTAACATCTGTAAATACAACAGTATTCCCCTTTATAGGAGTAAATACGGATGGAAATATGGGTTTAAATTAAAAAATTTTAATAAAATTAATATTTGTTGAAGAATAAGAATACTCATTCATACGATTATATGAAAATTTTCCCATTCACAAACTACTGTTTTGAAAATCCACATAAAAATAGTACCGTAAAACTCATACAAACTATATCTAAAAGATAAAGAATTGATTTTCTTGAAAAAACAGAAATTAAGAAAAATAGAAAGAAAAACAACGTGCAATGTTCGAATGTTAATAATAATCAATTTGATGATTCTGTGTTCATTAAATTAGTAGCGCCTAAAGAAATCAAGACGTAGGAGATGACGAATGTACATCAAGACAATAGTTTTGTTTTTACTTTTAACCGTCATCTGACAAGCAGGAGAGGAGGACTGTAATAAATTACGTGATAATTAGTTTTTATTTAATTGGTATGTTTTCATTTATTATATAGATTGATATATAAATCTTACTTTTTATTATTGTTAATTTTTATATCCTTAATTTTTACATGATTATTATATTTAGCATGACGAAGGAGCTAAACTGGTAGTAAGATTAAATAAAGAATTATATACAGGAGGAAGTCTTTTTATTGAATTTTATTTTTTGTTTATTACTCTATCTGTTAGATGTTTCGAGAAATATTCTTCCCATCATCAGGAACATATAATACTATTAACAGTTAACATTTTTTATTTTATAGGGTAAAAAAAGTATAGGATAAAGGAGCATAAATAAATAAAAAAATACTCTTTTTTTTTTTTAAATTCCCGTACATTTCCAGGTTTGAGAAATTTAAAATGGTTAAAGTTAAATATTCTTAAACTTACTTAATGTGTCCACCTGGTCGGTGAGAATATTGTTATTTCCATCCCTAATTCTAATTGTTACGGGTCCTTAACATTTATGTGATCTTTTTTTAGTTTTGTACATGTCTCATAAATTATTTTCGATTATATTGCGGTTTTTTTATCAGAAAAATACAGGGGTCATCCAATATTTGATCGTGAGAAATATGGATTCAATGTAGGAGCAGCCTAATACAAAGGTCTCTAATACTAGACCAATATTTCTTCAATATCCATTTCGGAACAAAATTTGAACAATTTACAAAAATTGTGCAATAGATAGAAGCCTTTCCACACCTGGATGAACTGCACACTATTATTCACAGATTTCTTTTTAGTCATGATCTCCCTGAAGCAGGTAATACCTAAGACCTGAATGGAAGGGGCTATTTTACCATGAGTACTATACCTCAGATTAATTAATGCTAATTACAGAATTCCGACTGAATAAAAAACAAATTTAAGTTTAATAAAATTTTAAGAATTAAAAGAAGATTATCATAGATTTACCTTAATTATATAATATCCTCCTCTATAACCAACACATATAGATTCTTTCACCCAAGCTATAGCTCTAGGTGTATCATTTAGGGTTATTGGCTCATAACCAGTAAAATCTAAAAATTGCCGTGACTTGAGATAGTACAGCTGTAGTTTACGTTTCACGCAAACACATAATCTTACAATTGAACTTGAAACTCCAGTTAAAGACACACTGGGCTAAAAAAAAATAGAATAAAATAAACACTCATATGTCATGAAAGAGAAAAAAATTCCAAGACAAATCAAAAAAATATTACTGTTTGATCAAGTGCAAATAAAGTTGCTCCTTTTGTTTTTTGCAGAGTATTCATTAAAGGGCAGTTTATATCAGCCAAATCATGCATGCTAACTATATTATCAGATAATTTTATAATAATATCATATTCAGGAACCAATGCTAATTGATTGATTGGTTTTTTGTTGAAGTTTTTATGATATCTATGCAGCTTTACTTCAGGTTTCATCTCACCATACCCAGGCGTAACATTATAAATTATTAAATGGCCTTGTTTAGTTCCAATATACAATTTATCATCTGAAATATTCAAAATAGATTAAAATATCTAAGTCTATATCTTCCTATAAAAATATAATAAAATAAATAAAATAGAAATAAGAGGTAAAATTTCAATTATTGTTTTTATAATTATATAGCTTATTATATACTTTAGCATAGGCACAGAATTACCTTTAGATTGGGAAGGGACAAAAAAAAAAAAAAAAATGTGGGAGTTTATTTTGGTGTAAAAATGATGTAAAATGATAAAATCAATATGCTTGTTGTGAGACAAACATAATACTGAATATTTAAAAATTAATTTAAATACATGTTTAATTAATGTAAGTTCATTTTGTTTATTTTTTACATGGGCAAACCACTGGGAGAGGGATACAGTCTCTATAACTTAAAATGAGAAACACATGAATGACAGGAAAATATTCTAAACTGACATCATCAGATTATATACTAAACATTTGTAAAGTAACATTTCAGCAGCTTCTCTGTCAAGGGGAAATCACAAACAGAAGAAATGGACCATGCTAAGGACCTCAATCTATAAGAATTAGTATTCTGGATGAGTAAATTACTATAAACTTCAGAAGGCTCCAGGGATGGACAGCCTACTTTTAGAGCCGTTCAAAGACGGGGAAGCATATCTTAGAGCCAAGCTATAACAATTAACTCAGAAAAGATGGGAAGAAGAAAGAATACAAGAAGTTCCGTAATTACAGAGACAAAGCACTTCTTTTAATTGTCGTATTCATACCATGAAAATATACTAGGCAACTACCAAGATGCAAACAAAAGAGAAAAGGATGCATAACAGGTGTTTGAAAAACAATATGAAGAAGCATGATGTGCATGCCTTATTTGTCACTTTTTAAACAGCTTATGATTCCGTGGAGAAAAACTGTCTTCGAGAGATCATGACTGAGACAAAAGCTACTAGGAAATGTGAAAGATTGAGGAAGGTGTCTACATATTATCCTGAATGGCAGATTCTGATACTAGGAGAAATATCTGAAAACTTCAGAGTTAGAAGCAGTGAGAACTCCTATTGATAATCATATTTGCCATGAAAAATATGTCAAATGTGAGGATTGAGGAGGCACCACATGAGAAGTGAATGAATAATGAATAAAAATGTAAACAATAGGAATATTTAGGTTGTGGTAAAATATTTATATCCCTACTAATAAGCCTATACCTAACCAAGTAGACTTTTCCTACTTTCTTAATCAATTTTAGTTTAGATATTTTATTAAATCACGTAGATTATTTGTAATTAACGTAAAAAATTTTAAATTTAAACTGTTGTAGGGGCAAAATGATATTCTCGCCCCCTTCAACCAATTAAAGTCTACACCTTATGCAATTTAGTAAGGAAAAAGTGTAAGCAGCACAGCACGATCACCAAGGTTGCATCTGTTGTTAATTTGTATTTGGAAAACAGATGAAAATATGTTATATTGATGCTTAACTTAGGGAATAGAATTTTGGAAGAAAATTAATCATGATCTAATTAAAGAGAGGTTATACTGTGAACATCTAATTCTAACTTCAATCCTCCTATAATCTTTGAATCCCCTGTATAACCAACAAGGAATTTTGGCCCACAAGACAAGTGGAGTGACATTTGATTGGAGGGTTTCATCATAAGGTATTTCCACTCTTAAGTTTTGTAATGAGTATGAAATAAATAATTATAATATATTTGTTTTTAAAAAATGGTTTGCCTAAATTTTATTCTTATTCAATTGGAGGCAATACATGGATAAATATATCCAAAAACGTAATGTTGTAGGTAAAAAAAAAGCAATTAAATGAGGCTACAGATTATATTACTAACCATAAGCAGTAAAGCATTCTATCTGAACAGTCAGCTTCATTAATTGTGTACAATCATAAGCTTGATGCATTTTTACTTTATTTTAGACTTTAGTGTAATCAATTCATAGACGTCTTTTAAATTGTCCACTAGTTTCAACACTAAGCAACAATAAACAAAAATTTGTTTTGTTAAAAATTAAGCGCTAGAGTTGATAACCTTCAAGAATGTTATCAATGACAGAAGACGGCAAACTGTTATCCTTTATCAACAAATCGGGATTGTGTAGTTCAATTTGAATATGCGGTTAAACTTATTATTTCAGATAGTTTTTCAAAAACAGAATTGGACATAAACTTCAATCATAACCATTTTTAATATATGGCAAAACATGTAATTTTGTTAATTTATACATTGCCGGCCTTAGGGTCAGGCAATTGCCCCAGGGCGCCGCAAAGTGGGCAAAATTAAATTATGGTCGATTTTAATGTATTAGGGATCACTAAGTAAGATAAAATAGTTTTAAATATATAATATTAAGATTTTATAATAGAAATCGTATGATAATGTGTAAATTAAACGTCAATAGTGCTATAAAATGCATATTAAAATAAAATTAAAAAGTGATTTTTATTCAGAATATTTTACTTAGTTTTAGAAAAATAACCAGAAAAGTGTTGAAAGAGAAGTAATAAATACAATGATGCTAAGAAAAGTAATTGTTATCAGCAAAAAATATGAATTAACAGGTTTTGAAAGAAAAGAAAGAAAGTAAGTTTTATTCTGGGACATTTAGTCCCCTCAGAATAGCTATAATGAACAAAGAAATGACAATTGCCTGACGATTGTGAAAAATTAAATGACAATTAAAAATAAATTAATTTACAAAGTTGTTTAACTTTAATATTAAAATAAAGAAACATGTAAATTTTTCATAGTATTAAAAATAAAGACACTGTAGTAAACATGATCTTGAAGTAGACATATGAATTTAAAGATGATAACATACGGATGAGTTCACGTATTTGTACAAATAAGCAATATGACACATACATAGTTATCTGCAAGATATCGGTATGGTGTAACTGACTTCTATAAAGTATAAAATAACTTTATTCTACATATATTCGAAAGATTGATTACTGAGGAGATGGAAAAATAAATTGTGTTTAAATGAGGTCAAGGATGAGGATTTCCGTAAAGAGGTTGGTAGGGAATTCCAAAACGAGTTAGCACATATGACGAAGGATTTTTTTAAAGGAAGCAGTTCTACGAGAATAAACAAATTTGAGGATTGGGATCCCGTGTTGAACGAATGAACAGAGGAACAAGGAGTAAAGAAATCAAGAAGGTAAGAAGGTTTTTTGGTTCTAAAGGTTCGGAGAAGGAATACACCTAGGAAATATTGCCGTCGGAAAACTGAATAGAGTCACTTCAACTCGGTATAGCAACTGGAGACGTGGGAGCGTCTGAGGACTCCAAGTATAAATCTAATGAAACAATTCATTAGCTTTTTTAATCAGATCTCAAGCCCGCCAGACAGTCCATCGTATTCAAGACAGCTATAATCGAAGTGAGGAAACTAGGAGCTGACGGATTTTAAGGAGCATAGAGTCACGGAATCTCAGGAACTGTTTGAAGGTAGCAATGGACTTTTGGATAATTCGGGAAATGCAATTATTCCAGGACAGATATTGATCAAACATTGCCCCAAGGTTTCTTACGGAAGTGTGGAAATGTATGGGTATCCCATTGAGGATAATAAGAAATGAGATATATCATATGTTTGGATCCAATGAGAATGGCTTTGGTCTTCTCAACATTCAATTTTAAATCATTGTTTACTGCCCAAGTATTAATACTGTCGATATCTTCTTGTAGCCTTTGGATCGCCTCAAGCATCTCGGTAGGATGGAAGAAAAGGTAGATTTTGCATATAAATGGTGTTATGAGTGGTGAATGGAATCAGGAAGGTCGTTAATATAGATGGAGTTGGGGAGAGCGAAGATCCCTGAGGAACACCACGAGTTAGTAAGAGAGGGGAGGAAGGAGTTTTATTGGGAATGATGACTATATGGGATCTTTGATACTTTAGAGCACCATTCGATATGGATAGGTTTTGGAATTTGGTAAGGAGGATTTCGTGATTTACGGAATTTAAAGCCTTTGAAAAATCAAAGAGGACTAGGATTGAGATTTTCTGCCCGTCTATAGAGAAATGAAGGTCCTGGGAAATTTTCAGCAAAGCGGATTGGGTGGATAACTGGGATCGGAAAGCAGACTGGAAGGGATTGAGGAGAGCTTTATAGCTCAAGGAAGGTATTAAGCTGTGAGTGGATTATTCTTTTAAGAGGATTTGAAAGATTGGAGAGGATGGAGATGGGTCTGAAATCGGAAACTTTGGAGGGAACCGGAACTTTGCTCAGTGGGAGGACAGTAACTTATTTCAAGGTAACAGGAAACTGGAATTTTGTAAAGGAAAGTTATAAATATGTACTAGGACAGGAAGACATAATTTGATAACCCTTCACAGGAATTTGGTCCGGGCCATAGTCGTTTATTCTGGATACTTATAATATAACGATAGAAAAATTGAGCACCACGGATAGACGGAATTAAAGTTTCATTGTTTTTAAAACGTGATTCTTGAATTTATTTAAGTTAATCTTATAACCAGATGATGGCACAATGCACATGAGGAACTCGTGCACCGCTTTCTCAACTGTTTAAAGTATAGCTGAATTTTTATCTTTATGATTTTTGAGTTTTCTTTATCAGGAGCGTTACCGCGATTTGTTAAATCCCACATATAATAGCTTATAACTTTATCCGCATTTTTTAAAAATATTACCAAGGAAACTGGTTATGTACTATTCGTAAACATTTATTAGTTTTATGTTATAAAATTTACTAATGTATATGTTTTTCGTTTTATAAATAAATGAAACAAAAAAAAAAGTTTCTATAAATGGCATTACTAAAAATTAGTTACAGTTAACGTGTGTTCGATTATATTCTAAGTCTACTTGTAAGTATGATAAAAACGTTGGACGCCATGCCTTCTTGTTATAAAATTTGGCAAATAACCCATCTTCCTTACTAATAAACGGAAACTAATCCCACCAATCAATTCAGCTTAATTATGGAACTCTAAATACACACTTTATTAAATGATAATTATTTTGCAATCTACGCCTTTTCTAAAAAAAAAAAGGAGAATAAATTCTAAACTTATCCATTTTAGCAGCTAGAAAGGTCATATTTAGAAACTATGTTAAATTGCCTTTTAAACCATGCAATGGTCATCGCGCTACTCTTCATTACTTTTATACTTATTTTACTTCTGAAGTTAATCTATGCCAAGCAGAAGATAGTAATTTGAATTTATTTTCTATACAATGTTCTTATATTTTAGTCGTACTTATCTTCCTTCTTAAGCACCCATATTAGTAAAGTTGTATACAACTATAAATAAGAACATAGGAGCCAGTTAATTGTCAAAGATTGATGAAAGAACTTAGTGCGATATTAACGTAAAACTGGTTCGATCATAAATATAAAGGTGTACAAAGTGTTTATACATTACTTTCCAATACTTTTTTTTTTTGTCCTCCCCTTCCTCGCCGTTAAGGCTACACGGGGTTTTCTCGGGCCAGAGGACGTGGACGAGGATTTAAAATACTCCCTCGGCACCGGGACGCGAACTCGTGACTATTTTGATATCATTATCATATATCAGGTTGCCGGGCAACGGCGGTGCTGTGGACACGCATTCCATGTTAGTCCATTCGGCCACCCCGCCTTTTTTTTTACTGTTCAACTATCATAGTAAACAAAGAACATTGAATGGATAACAATTGTGAGATTCAGGGGTACCCATCCCCTCCCAAGGCCTATGGTGCATGCCCCTCTCCCTCAAAAAATATTATCGCCCCCCTCACTTATATAATTAATATTTATCTATATCAGATGTTAGTTTAAATTTAGTAGATATAATATTGTTTTGTTTCACGAGAATATTAAAGGCACAATACATTAGGCAATGGCATGATCCGGGAGATGTCGGGTTAAAGTATTTTCATCAAGAATTCCGGAGGACTCCAGTGGGAGGAGGCAGTCCTGATAGCTTGCTGGGTAATACTAGTAAAGCATATCTAAGTTCATTTTTGTCAGAAAGGATGTGACCAAAGAGGTTCCAGCTAAAAAAAAAAAAAAAAAGGTTCCAGCTAACTACCCTTTTAATGAAAACCCCTCCAGTTTTAATGCTTTGTGTTTAAATCTGCACCTAGAATGAGATAATGTCCTGAGGAATTAAGGAGAAGACTGAACGGTATATGGATATGGATATGGATTGGTTAGGAGGACAATATGTTGAGCAAGTGTGAGTGAATAGAAGCAAGTCTTCATAACTACAGTGTTGGCTTTTATCATGAATAAGCTTAGGGAGTAGACGACGAAAAAGAGGCTGATGAGTAATGATAACAGTACCGGCATATGTTCTTCCGTAACGTAAGGTTGGTCGGTTCGGTGCGCCAAGTATTGCGGTATTTTCCATCCAATTCCAAAACTTTATTATATTTCTAAATTATTATAATCATTTCTAAATTATAATAATCTAAGACAGATTATTATATTTCTAAATAAACAAATAAAAAATAAAAATCTCTGCCAAAATTATGCCTTTGCCAGAATTTTGTTAAATAGCGATGTGCCCTTGTTCTATACATTTAATAAACACTTAGGTAAATTTTCCAGGAGGAGGCTGGAACAGCCAGTAGATGGTTATCAAGGAGTAAAGTGTGACAATGTCATTGGAAGGGTGTACACTGTTCACGCAAGCAACAGTGAGTGTTACCATCTCAGGCTCCTGCTGCATACTGTACGAGATCTCACTTCATTTGGAAGTATATGGAAAGTGAATAGATTGCTTAAGCCGACTTTTCATTCAGCATATCGTGCTCTCTGTCTCTTGGATGACGACTCCCACTGGGAGAAAGCCCTTAGAGAAGCCACTGTTTCTGACAGCCCTAACAAATTACGAGAATTGTTTAGTATGATGTATGTTTTTTGTAGCCTCAGTGACCACCTTGA